CTAGTGTTGGATTTTAGGAAATTCAACTCTTGTGTTCAGCACCAGCCATTTCTTCCTGTCCATCGTGAGATGTCCTTGGCAGCATTGCGCCCATTCCGCATCGGATCGGCACTTGATTTGTCCAATGCTTATTTACAGATCCGGCTTGCCCCACGATTGTGGCGTGCTGTTGGGTTAGCGGTGGCAGGGCGATTTTTTGAGTACATGCGATTACCTTTTGGGTACTCCAACAGTTCGCATGAATTTTTGCGAGCTTTGTGGCCAACAGTTCGCCGAGTGTCTGTTCGCATCCAGTCACAGATCATTTTTTATATGGACGACATTCTTTTATTATCCCAGACTGAAGCCCAACATCAACGTGACTTGGCCATTTTATTGGAGGAGTTGGAACAGGATGGGTGGCGGGTTAACTGGGACAAGTGCCAGTTTTGCCAAGACCGCTTTGAGTATTTGGGTGTGACCCTCACTTCTTCAGGCATGGAGCCTACAGCCACAGTCTTGACTCAGTTTGAGCAGGCCCCTATGCCTACCACTCAATCAGGTTGGCGTCAGATTCGGGGTTGGCTCAACCACTCCGCTCGTTTCATTTGGCGAGGACATCAGGTGTTGGCGGCATTACGGGATGTTCAAGCACATCCTTCCTTGGACAGGTGGCACCGATTTCTCTCCCTTTTGCGCTGCCATTTTGTCCGATGTGCTGTTCCTTCTGCAACCTCATCTGGGGCATTCACCGTGATTACAGATGCCAGCAAGCTTGGTTGGGGGGCTGTGTTACTCGCTGGGCATCACATCGTGCGTTGTGCACATGGCTTATGGTCGACAGGTTTTCAGCACCACATGAGCAATGTGTTGGAATTAGAGGCACTTTGCAGAGCTCTTCAGACATTCCGACCTTGGATTTTTGGTGCGCCTGTCAAGGCTATCATGGACAATCAGGCGGCTGTGAGTTTCAACAATCCTGCCCATCTCAGCGATTTTCTTAAACGGCGCTTAGACCACCTTTCCTGGTATTCTCCTCAGATTTCATTCTGCCCAGGTCCATTTAATTACTTGGCAGATTTTTTATCGAGACAGGGGGCTTGGATTTTGGGTCGTTCACATGTTCGCGCAGTGGAAGAGCAACGCGCCTTGGTCATTTCTCAGGCACAATGGAAGCAGGCCCATGCAGGGCATTTTGGAGTGAGGAAGACGTATCTTCGCTTTCGCCAAATGGGTCTGCATCCAACATGGCAATGGGTAACGGATAGGGTGCGGTCATGCAGAGAGTGCCAGTTGTTCCATCAACCGCAACCATCGAATCCGTTTGGCAGTTGGCATGTGCCAGAGAGACCGGGTCAAGTTATTGGCTTGGATTTTATGGGACCATTCCCAGAAAGGAAAGTGGGAAAGAAGCGGTTTGTTCTTGTCATCGTGGACATGTTGACCAGAAGGGCGGAAGCATGGGCAGTAACAGGGGCAACAGGGGCAGACATTGTGCGGGGACTGAAGAAATGGACACAAACACAAGGGACACCGTCAATCTTGTGTTCTGATGTTTGCAAGGCCACACAATCCAAGGAGTTGGAGAGATGGTGTGCGCAGGAGGGAGTGGTGCAAGAATACTCTCCCCCTTACCATCACTCATCCATTGGATTTGTAGAGCGGTTCAATCAAACACTTTTGAACCGTTTGAGGCGCATGTGGGCAGAGGAGCCCAAGTATTTTGCCAAGACGGTCGAGCGGGCGGTGGAGATCTACAATAGTACACCCCTCTCTTCGCCAGAAGAGAGTAAGAGGACTCCCAGTTCTTTCGTATTCGGGTCACCGAATCAGTTGTGGAATAGTTCACGGGCCGTGTGGAAGCGATTGCACGAGTACGCGCGGCAACAACGCGAGAAGGCAAACCACAGGACGAGGGGACGACGAATCCAACGGACGTTTAGGACAGGAGACCGGGTGTGGCTGTGGAACACAAAAGTCAAAACGCTGAAGGACAAGCTCGAACCGTGGTGGAAGGGTCCAGGACAGTTAATTCGCCCCATAACGAATGCAGTTTGGGAAGTACGGGGTCCGGAGGGAAAGATGTGGGTTAGGCACACGGATATGTTGCGGCCGTACCGAGATGCATTTTAAAAAAGGGGATGGTGTTTGGCGCAGGGAAGCGTGTGAGGGCGAGGGAGTGGTTAATATATAATATGTGATATATGGTGTTTTCTATGGTGGCAAGTAAAGGTGTTGACTATGGTGTTATGGTGAATGCACATGGAGACAATGGAGATGGGAGACGAACATTATTACGGTGACTGTTATTTAGCTGGTACAATCATCTTGTAATGTATCTGGTTGCGGCCTCGCTTCTCGTGCCTGGGAGCGACCGTGCGTGAGCAAGCAGGAACTCTCGGTTATCCTGTCAGTGACTATACCATAATTTAACATACGGCTGTGGCTTGGTGCACGTTTAAAATCGTGTGAAACCGTGTTCTTTATCGTACTGCCCATGATGGTAAGGTGTACCACTTTTGTGGACCTACACAAACTACACGATTTAAGCAAGCGTATAGTTCGTGATCAGCACACGATTGGCTCACGGTTTTACACGATTTTACTCGTATGACACGACAAGACTGCCAGGACCGCCAAGACTGCCAGGACCGCCAAGACTGCCAAGAAGTATTTTTATGTCTTGTCGCTGCTGTACGCGGGTGAGGACCCGGACAGGTACCGCCACAGCCCACAGACACTGCGCCCTGGCCATGTCCACACCGCTCCCAGCACCTCACAGCGCAGCGCTCAAGTCGCACAAGACACTCATGTACTGCAGCACCTCATGCACTAGCAGCTCACAAGAGCCTGCTCCCCAACCTGGTGCACAAATTGAAGCGTTGAAGCAATGCACCAGAAACAATTCTCCCATCGCGGAGACTTCACATTCTTTTTGCTGAGTCAAGAGATGGCTTTCAAAACTTTCGTCGAGTGGGGTTGAAAGTGAGAATATGAAGAACGGAGAGAAGCTTGGCAGAACATGAAATAGACCAATCGTCGCCCTTCTGGCTAGCCGCCTAAAGGTCTGGCTGCTATAGCTCAATCGTTGGCCGTTATTCGCAACAGGTTTCAGATTTTTGCCCATCGCGGCTGCTGGCAATTCCCGGGACTTCCCGCCAATCCAGCTTGATTACCTCACGGACAAGATGAACTGTGGAGAAATTTTGTGCACAATACAAAAGAGTGGGCTCTGAGCGACGCCGCCATGTGTGTAGAAGTGTACTGAGCTGTTGCGAGTAACGCGGTGTGAGGGTGGTCGTGCGAGATGGTGTATATCCATCTAAGAACTGGTTGTAAATGATTGGATGGATTGAAGGGTGGCTGCCGACTGAGCGGCACCCCAGGCGAGTGTACTGCAGTTTGTGGATGCCGCCGACATCAATTTCAAACCGATGCTGCTGGGCTGATCACCAACGGGCGGGGTCTTTTGGGTTGCCCAAAACTTCCCTTCACAGCCTTTGTTGGTGGACGCACACAAGCATGCTCTGGTGCATTCCCTCCATGCAAACGTCGTGTCAGCGGTGCCTTACTGGCCCGGCGCACGTCTGGAATAAGGATAGATGTTGGTGAAACACTTGCGGCCGAATTTCCGTTGATACATTGCCGATCAAGCCTGCTACGCACGCGCAATGTTCATTCATGTAATGAATATTCATAAACAAATACCAAAACGGACCCTTGTCGGTGCCAAGATCGTTATGTGCATTCGCTACTTGTAGCAAATGAATGCACGCACAAACATGCACACCTTTAGAACACTCCCATTGCTCCGTTTCTGAGGCTGCCAAGGCAAGATTGGTATCTCTTTTCAAGTCCTGTCAAATAACCCACAAATTCACACATAGTGTGAAACCCAGACTATGGTGCCCACAGTTGAGCCACAAAAGGTGGCTGGTTTGGATTTGTTGCGTAGAATTCTGTGCCCGTGTGGGGCACGGACCCACCCCACATCCACCACACACATCCCAGTATCGTGTGCCTTTCCGACCTCGAGGTGGGTAAAAAAGGCTTGACCTCAGTAGTTTAGGTACTATAGGGGGACTGCAGGGCCAACGCACCGCACAAACACCACCAGGCCGCGAGCAACGGAACCTAGGCAGGCCGCCTCCGCGCGCCGCAATGGCGCAGCGTGTTCCTAGGGCTCTGCAGGGCGCTTCCTGCGTTCTGCGTGGCGCATCCACCCCTTTCAGCCTTGCCGCTGCTGACAGGTACCATGAGCTGCGGATGAAAAACGCATGGGCAATGATCCCCACAGCCAAGTGCACCAGGCCATTGGAATCTGTCCGCCGCACATTGCTTGGCGTACAACCGCGTATAAATGGCTGAGCTGCCGGTTTGCGAGATTGTTCGCTCCTGTTTGGGGATACTGACCGGTCTTGCGCGGATTAGGGTTGCCTGGTCCAGACGTTCGTTGACGTTGGAGGTGACTGAAATGGAGGATGATGATAATGTTGTGCAGACTCGACCCGCGACTGTGTTTTCGCTGGGATCATAGCGATGCGGGTGATTTTCAAGACAAGATAAGCAAGCTGCTGTCCGGAGATGGCGAGACGCATCGACAGGTGCCAATGAGCCGCCCCTGTACATGGCTTCCAGACGAACCCCTATTGGCGTTTCGAAAGTTCAAGCCAGTTGAAAATGTTGTCTTCTTGACAGAATGAAAAGTGCGTCATGAACTGGGCACCCCCCATCTGGGCAAGCATGTTTTAGACAATTTCTCTTCGAAGCAAGAGATGACACGGAAGTCGCTGAGTGTATGGACAGCTGGCAAGAAAGACCGACATAAAGACACAGCTGTGGCAGCCATTGGGCTGACAGGAAATTTAGCTTTGCCTCCATGACAAGTTCAATTGACACAAGAGATTTGTTGATCATCTTGACCAGGATCTGGCTTATCACAATCTGCACTGTTTCCACAGGAAGGGCGAACAGAAAATGGGGGTCCTGCAGGCTTGGAGGAATCCACCTCTCCAAACGCAATGGGTGCTGCAGCATCCCCCGAACCTCTGTTTCGAAATGGGAGCCGTGCTGGCTACGCGCCAAGCACATCTCCAGGCCTGGCATCAACTTCTCAATCAGACTTCATCGGCATGGTTTCGCCCCCAGCGTCGCAGCCTGGCACATCAATTGGCCCAAAGCCAACTCAGCCCTTGACACCCGAATCAACCATACCCCAGAGGACCCTCGACTCAGCCTCGCGCGAGCGGAAGGTGCCTGCCACACCTCTGCAGCGTATAATGGGATTCGGCAGTCTGGGCGCCAGCCTGGCCTTTGGTGCCATGAAGGACTCCATGTCGCGGACGCTGGGAGGCAGTGTTCGTGAGGCCAATGAGCGTGACACACAGATGGTTGGAGCATTTATCAGTGGGGACAACGCCGAGATCTTGGCAGCAGGGCTGTGTCGGATGCGCGGGGCTGCCCTGAAGTTGGGGCAGATGTTGTCCCTTCAGGATGAGAACCTGGTGCCACCGGCGCTGCAGACGGCCCTGGAAAGAGTGCGGGCCGGGGCGGACTACATGCCACGGACCCAGCTTGAGCAAGTGTTGCAGGTGATGGATGATGGCTGTTTCCCTATCAGGAAAAATAGACCACAGCGCGCCATTGCCAACCTCCTTAGGCAGTAACTACAGTGCCACACTTTTGTGTTTGTGCAAGATGATGTAGAGATCTCTATGTACTACATTCCCATGTACTACTATGCCATTCAACGGCATGCAGTGCTGTGCAGTCCATGGGGTGGAAGAAGCATGCAGGGGGACTGAAAGCGTTGCAGGTGATGGTATCCTTCATCATCTAGTTTATGGTTCGATCTGGCTTCACTGGATCCAGTTGATGGGTTGATGTTTCTCCAGCACATGCAAATGGATGTTGGTGGCAGTCCCTTTGCACTGCGCAGTTAAAGATAAGTACACATGTGAGTCGATCTGCCAAGGATGTCAGCATGAACAATGGGAAGTGAACAGTGAATGGTACTGAAGTCTTGCGCACACACGTACACAAGTGCCTGGGCAGGTGGGCAAGTGTTGGCTGCTGCATGAGACTATTGGCACTCATCAAAGCGCCAAGGTTGGTTTAGTGACAAAACAGAAAAGTCCTCAGCTCAGGAATGGCATGCAGTTGCTCAAATGAGGCAATGAAGGCAATGAAGCGCATGAATAGCTGCAGCTCAGCAACGGTGTTGGCAATGCTGGCTGCACAGCCCACAGCATAGGTTAGACGCACATACCATTACCTACCTAGGTGTAACTTCTTGCTCGGAATGCTTAAGTGCAAAGAAGCACATTGTGTCAGTCAACTGGCCACACTTGCAGTGGCTTCGGCTGCTGACATCTTTTCCTTTCCCCAGGAAGATCTTGGCACAGGTTGGCAAGATCGTCTGGCTGAGTTCGACTTCATGCCGATGGCTGCTGCATCCATAGGCCAAGTCCACAGGGGGGTGTTGCATGATGGCAGGCCAGTGGCCATGAAGGTCCAGTATCCAGGAGTGGCTCAGAGCATCGCATCGGATCTGCAGAACCTGATGATGCTTTTGAAGGTTGGCAGCTCTGTACTGTATGCTCGCATTTCATGTATTTCATTCTCCAGACGCTGCCCGAAAATAGTTGCTTGTTATGTTATTTTGTCCACCACGAGGGTTTGGATCCTGGGAAATATGTGCCAAGGGAAGTTTCATATCCTAGGACAACAGGAATTCACTAATGCGCAGATTCCAGGCTGTGCATCACTTTTGACTGCACGGAAGAAAGCTTTCTTGTCACGGACATCGGTATATCTTGGCTTGCAACTCTTGTTCTTTCCTTTGTTCACCACCTGTGCAAGATGCATGGGTGGTGAGCAGTCAAAATGAGATGAGGGGTGGAAAATTGTTCTTGAATGTCTGCTTGCCCATTTTTGTCTGCAAGGTGCAGGGCCCTGGTTTGTCTTTCAGGTGCATATTTGAACAAAGGATTACGGCAGGGCAGCTGGAGACGGATAGTAAATTCTGTCCAATGTTCTATTCAAGCTAAACAAGATCTCCTGCGATGCAGAAATTTGCAGCACATTTTGTCCTTTTTGCATTTCCCTGAGTGTACCAAAACAAACGTGCATGAGTTTTTATGTTTGTGTTGCACCAAAAAACAAAGTGCATGATCTGTTATTGTGATAGTACATTTGTCAGGCATGGCAAAGTGAACTTCCGGAGGACTGTTATTACTTTTAGACGACCTTTGCGTTAACTGTGAAAAGTTGCTCCACAGGCTGTACAATGCAGTGACAATCTCCACACCAACCTTGCATTTTGTGTGTGCAAACCATTGCTTTCTATTTCATGCAAACAATATGCACGTGCAGTGCATTGTCCCAGTGCAGCAGCTTAGCAACAACTGCAGGTGCAGGTTCCAAGGCAGATGTGTGACATGCATTTGTTGCATGAAGTTGCTGGATGGCTGCATGTTTCTGGCAACACAAAGCACAAGTCCTTGGAGAACATTTATTTGCATCAATATTGTCAGTGCTCGTTGTCTGCACCAGTAACAGCCCGTATCTCTGTGTTTGCCGGCATCATTCACTGTTCCCTCATATTCCATCAGGTCACAAATATGCTACCTGCTGGACTGTTCGTGGACAATGCCGCAACAGTGATGGAGCGAGAGCTGGCCCTTGAGTGTGACTACACCAACGAGATGAGGAGCCAAGCCAGATTCAGGGACCTTGTAGAGGGAGATGAAACATGTTGTGCACACTTCCAAGTGCCTGCAATCGTGCCAGAGCTGTGCAGCACTCGTGTGTTGACGTCGGAATGGGTTCCTGGAGTGGCGATTGACAAGGTTTGTGGGCTTGGACCGTGGACGTGGCATTTGGTGAACAAGTCTCCCAACTGGATGTCGCATATAAGGATTGAAACAGGAGTGACTTAATGTCTATTGCCACATTGCTCCATGAAGAGTATGCTTACTGGTTGCAATGGCAATGATAACACTGTGGGGGCATGTGTTTTTGTGTGTGGATAGTGGTTGACATTTCCTGCCACAGTAGTGTGAGGACCAATGTGCAGCACTCAGCCCTTTTTTTAACCTGTGCAGAGTTATTCAGTCCATCAGCGATCTAACTAGAGTCTTCTGGGTGTTTTGGCTGATTTGGGTACAGTCTCTTGGACTGCATTTGTTAGCAGCAGAAAATGGCTACCCTTGCTGAAGTACCTACCTCTCAGAAATTGGCAATTATGTGAAGGCTGTGAAAATCTTTCCGATCGCCACGTTTGTTGAATGCAAGGATCACACAGCTTGCGCGCCTGAAACACGGGGGACTAGATGAAAAATCCTGAAAGAAGATATGCGTGTTCAATGGGTTTGGGCAGTGGCGAGGCTGTTGGACAGCCTCTGATGGGAGGGAGGACCAGCTCTGGCAGATGTCCTGTGGCCGTTGGCATCTCCCTATGCTGGACACCTATCTCCCCAGTTGTTGACGCTTTATCGTTTGGCGGGTTTGCTGACAGCGCCCCACTGTGCTGTGTTCCTAGGTACATGAAATGCCATCCGAGGTTAGGAATCGGGTTGGGAGCCGCCTACTTTACATCACGCTCAGGGAACTGTTCACTTGGCGGTTCATGCAAACAGACCCCAACTGGGGCAACTTTTTGTACGACTCGGAGACTGATATGCTGTCCCTGATCGACTTTGGGGCGGCCCGGGACTATCCGAAGACGTTCGTCGACAACTATCTGCGGATGGTCCAAGCTTGTGCGGAACGGGACCGAGAGAAGGTTTTGCACTGGTCCCAAGAGCTTGGTTTTTTAACAGGTGCGGTTCATTGGCGCAAAGTCTGTGACTCTGGTAGACGCATAACTCGATACAGCATCAGAAAGTAGCACGATGCGATTTGTGTTTTGACATGCGATGTCGCCAGACAACCAGCAATGTCAGCATCTGAAGGGGTTGTGTTGGGTGCTGGTCCACTTGTTGGAGGCATGTGTGGCATTGTCTGCATTGTGAGAAAGAGGGTCTCACAGGGGTCGTTGCTCAGATGAGGGTACACATCTTGAACCGTGCTATCCAGCCTGGCAGAAAGGCAATTGTGCCAGTTGTGGCCGTACGCCACTTGCCGAGATAACAAACGGATGCTGGCATTTATTGGCTCGTTGATTCTGACTCATTGAATCGTTCGATCGGTCATCCAAGAATTTGTAAAGGATCATGAGTTCGTGCTATGATACCATACCCATTCTTTAATTCATTCGATAACTCAAGAAATTTAAGACGTCACAACTTCGTATAACGACTTCTGATTCTTTGATTCACTCATTGGCCCCCATTTTGTTGGACATCAGGGGACGAGTCGCGCGCCATGCAAGACGCCCACTGTGAGGCGGCCTTCATCGTGGGCCTGCCATTCGGGGCAGAGGGCACGTACGACTTCGGCGGCCACTCACAACTCACGCCTCGCGTCGCTGAGCTGGGCGCTAAAATGCTGAAGGACCGGTTGTGCCCCCCGCCTGACGAGGCTTACTCACTGCACAGAAAGCTCAGCGGCGCCTTCCTCTGCTGCATCAAGCTGCGGGCGGAGGTGCCAGCCAGGGCGCTATTCCTTGAGGTCCTCAACAGCCACAAGTTTGGATGACTCATCGCCCCTGCCGTTCAGTTGCCGCCCAGGCACTTGTTCGCTGACGTGTCCTCCACACCCACAACTTAAACTACTGAAAGGATCGGGGAGTCAGTGGTGGAATACCGGGGAAAATTGTTGTTGCTGGCTGTCTCTTGGTGGTCACCGTTTTTGCGGACGACCAGTTTTTCAATCAAATGTGTCCTTAATTGCCACTTCCACTCCCTAAGCAGTTGCGCATTTGCCCAGTGCTTTTCTGCCTGTTTCGGAATGGAGACTCGTAGGTTGTTGGGCCGTTGTCGGGTTGGCTGATTCGGGCGGGGCTGTGGAGCAGGCGGCGGTGCCTGTGGTGGTCGCATTGCTCACTGAAGTGCGTGTGGCATCACGCTGGAAGCATGTGATCCACGGCGAACGGATGATGTGCGCATTCTTTATTGTTTATTGTGAGCATTCTTTCCATTGCGAGTGTCGTGTTCGTGGCTACTGCGGCGTCAGCGTGCATCCAGTTGCTTTGGATGTGCGTGGGCTGTTGGGTGGTGGTTCAAGCGGCACAGTGTTGCCTCATTTCGAAGTTCCTATTTATTGCTCCATTTAAAAGCTCACTCGGCACGGGTTTGGCGGCCAGCAGCAGTTACACTGCTGCACCTCGGTGCCAATCCATTAGGCGATGGCTTGCACGGCTCTCTCTTGGGCCTCAGTGCTTGCGACACTGATTTGATGTTAATATGCTCAGCATGCACCATGGGGCACCATGCCCCACTGCGTGGGGAAGCATGGGGCTGGCTGGGCAGACCATGGACGCCAAGGGATTATGTTGACACTCAACACAACGCTGGGGGGCCTTCGTGGTGTGCGAAAAAGCCCGCTTTGTAAGTCTGAGGCTGCCATATGTTGGACATGGATGTCTTTACAGGTATTGCTGCGGTGCAAGGCCGCAGAACGGGGCATCGAAATGGTATTGCTGTTTTCGCCAGCCCATGGGGCGCCAGCCAGACTGACGATCGTTGAGAAGAGTGATAACCAGTCTGGTGGCCAAAACTGGTGAAGCTGCGAGTATCGCGAAGTTTAGCACGTATTTCTTGAAGCGGGACCAAACGAACTAGATCTCAGAAGCATTTAGCTCCAGCCACATCAGCACAGTGGCGGCTCGCCTGGGGGCAAACGTGTGGGAATTCATGATGCATGGAGCACAGCGTGATGACGAGTGAAGCACAAAGTTCTTCAAGAAGATCGTGCTGCAGAAGAAATCCTCAAGGATGGCAAGCAGCCAGTCCTGCGGTGGATTAATATTCGGGATGTTGGAAGTCATGGCAGGTGCCAGCCTTGGACGCTATGTATTTTTGTATCCATCAGTTTGCGTTTTTCTGGGCCTCCTTGGAGATAGGACGCTCTAGAGAGGTGTTCGATCAACCGATGTGCGGTCCTGTCTCGGCCTGTGTTGATTCTGTGGCGATCACGACAGATCTTTGCATCGCACAATGGGATCCCCCCTCCCCCCGCCAGAATAACAGCATCAAGTGGCGTTAAGCGCTACAAATTTGCCCTGTCGCCACTACACAACGCACCTAAATCCCAAAACCAAAATCCCCCAGAAAAGCATCCTTGTGAGGTCAAGTGTAGACCGCTAACAAGGGACGCCGTTTGACTGTTTGAGTCCAGCAGAGAAACGTGGAATGACCAATGTGTCGAAGCCTTCACGCTGCCTGCAAGTATATCCATTCATTTTCATTCATTCGTCATTCATTCCGAGAAAAGCCTGTGGTTTTCGAGCCCAACTGCACTGGCAACATATTAGCGGAGAAGTTCGCGGGCGCATAAGGTTTGCCAGGCCAAAATGTTCGCGCTGAAAAAAGGTTCGCGCAGGCGCTCGAGCGCGAAATGCGCGAACATTTTCAATACTGTATACAGTATACAGTATTCAATACCGTATACAGTACATATACATACACATGTATTCCCAACGTGCGTCGAGGTAGTACTCCAGGGGCGACACGTCACCGCGCTGATGAGGCATCCCGCGCGCCAACGACAGCCCCACAAGCCACGCACGCCAGTGCGCCCCAACTACAACTCGCCCCAACCTCCAGTGCCACCCCAAGGCGCCTCGCGCCCAACCCTGCGCTCTTCTTCAAAAGCCCGAGCGGTAGCCGCACTCGGCGCCATGCGGTCGCCGTCCTTCCTGGAGGGCCTGCTGATCGGCGCCGTGGTCGCAGCCGGCGTTTCGTACATCATCACGAGGCACTCCCTCCGGTCGATCGTTGAGGAGCTGCGGAAGGAGCAGGCGGGGCCCGGGCGCGCCAAGAAGCACCGCAGGCGGTCGCAATCCAGGTAGGTGGGTCGGGATTCTGGTCTGGTTCCCTCGTGGTGACGTTGTTCGTTTTGTTTTGTGTTCGTGGGAGGGCGCCCTGGGCGTTGGTGCAGTGTGACCTCCATCGAGTTTGTCAATAATTGCAGATTGTGGCTCCTAGGTTGGGCGGTAAGCGTTGTGACTTTGACGCGCGATCTGTGCGCTTGATCTTGCGTTGTATTTGCGGGCGCCAGGTGGTTTGGGGTGGCCTGTCGACGTGTTTCAACTCCCCTCAATTGCGATCGACGGATTGTAATGTACTGTCTAGGTGGTGGCAGGGCATGTTGCTGCTGAGGCAATTGTCGTGATGTCAATCAGATCAGATGGAGATCCAAAACACGCAGCCTTTTGTCCCCGTCCCGTGCCAGGAAACTTCAGTATGTCCCCAGCGTGGAATGAACTCCCAATCTGGAGCCTGCATTTGTCCACCTGGTACCAAAGAAACGATGTTCGCCTCAGTCAAAAATCGCAGCCGTATCCAACAAATTCAGCAAGTGCCATCTCCATCCACTTGTCCTTTGTCCTGAAGGTTTGGTTTTTGCCAGCAGTTTGTGATGATACTGTGTAGATGCACACATTGCCCTTTTGCATTGAAGGCACTTGGGTGTAATTGGTCAACGTTGATGCATTCAATCACTTATAGAATCTTTTGTGTCAAGGTGTGCAAGCCCAGGACGGCGCAACACCCATCATTTTCATGCCGCCACCCACCATGACCACGAGCCTGCTTATCGAGACCAGCAAATGGAACAGGTGGTGCAGAATACACACAGGTGTCAATGGCACATAGCATTTTCCTTGGCAACATTTGCTACTGCTTGTTTCCCCAGCTGTTAAATGCAAACATGGCAAACAGTGGACGTTGATTGACGTGCCCACAATCGGTATACCTTACATAGCAACAACACATCATCGACTGCACATTGTCATTTCCAGCAGCTGGGCTTTGCACTGGATAAATGGATTGCTTCTCTTCTCAACTCTTTTAGACATCAAACATGATATGTGCTTTTAACACATTTGAATGGTTTTCATCCCTTGCCATTGAGGTGGTCAGGAAAAATGTAGGCACCATCTGCTTCGTTGTTCAAGCCAACTGCAGAAGCTTTTGTCTGCTTGCAGCTTGCAACCAAACTGCTTGTTTGGTCAGCAGCACCAATGGAAACGAGAAATCTAACACATCTGCATGATTTCCTCTGTGAATCGACGTGTGTGGGCTCGTTGCCCAGCACTGAAAGTGAAATGGGTTGTCACAGATGGCAGTCATAGGCACGGCCATGCCGATCACCACTCTTGTCAACTCCCCAAGACAGACAGCTTTCTTTGCTGGCAGGGTGAGTCCTTGCACTGCTCCATTGTGCAGGCAGCAGCACTCATAAATATGCCTACCCTCTTTTGTGCATCTTTGGATGGGCAATGCACGGACAATTTGACGTGTGGGAGCTGATGGCTCAAATGCCCGATGTACTGCATTGCTCTGCTTGACACACCCACAAGGCAGGGATGCGAAAGTTGGCCGCTGTGCCATCCCACGTGGAATGTTGGCAGTCAACCGACATGGTCCCTGGGTTATAGGAACGGACTGTGTTGAAATGCTGAGTTTCTATAACTCAACACAGTCACCTAGCACACGGCCAATTTCTGCAGGCTCACGGCATACAGGTGGCACAATTTGGGTATTGCATACACAATGTATGTGTTGAAGAGATACTGGCTGTTGACGTGACAGAATGAGACAACAGATGATGAGAACTTTGAGCAAAGTAAGGATTCCGATGCATTGCCAAGCCGGAGAGAGACGAGAGATTCACAGGTGTCAGAATTCACAATCGTACAACACATGCAGCGCAAGAGAACCTTCATGCTGAAACCAATCCCGGCACTGATGCGAGCATTAGTGCCATCACGCAAATGCCATCCACATCAGTACATCTGTGCCCACCAAGGAATTTCCAGTCTGCAATTGCTGCAAAAGAGGCATAGTCATGCGCAAGCATGAGGCATGACACTTTGTACATTTAACTGCCTTGGATACCAGGGCTGCATTTTGTTGCACACTGTGAGCTTGCAATAGGAGTAGAATTTTGCAAATTATCTTCGACATCGTTGACATCGTTGTGGCCCTTTGTCTTGTGTTTGTTGAAGATTCATGTGCAAAATTTGTTGCCGAGTCAAATGCACACGAACATTGTTGGATGCTGCTATGCACCTCCACGCCTGCTAGGTGCAAGATGTTGGATTTGTCACGTGTTGATGACAGTGTCCCATAGACCTCAGGGACGCTTTCCCTAGTTTAGCGAATAGCAGCTTGAGGCAGCACTTAGTGATGTAGTAGCTACATCCACAACCATAGCTGGTGGCCCGATTGCAGAATTGCTGGTAAATCTGGTGTTTGTAATAATTTCAAAGTCATATGGTCTTTCAGCTGATGGAAGGATAGCTTCTTGAGTACATCAATATCTGTTCACATGGCCTTGTTGTCCTATGTGGAGGCTGACAGGACAAAAGCCTATGCGCAGTGTACATTTCTTAATATCAATATCAGTATCTGTCACAGCAAATTGGTTTATCTGCCCCAGCACTGGTAAAATTCAACAGAGGCTTGTTGATTGAGTTGCGTCAATTCTTGACCATTCTGCTCTCCAAAGAACAAGACAGAGCACTGCTTGCAGCTGTCAGGCAATTTTCCAGGGATTGCTTTCATTTTCACGGCAGCAACAAAAGTGCTGCAGACAGACTGCAGTTCCAATGGTGACGAAATTGTCACACTTTGGTGGGCTGCAGGAAAACACGTCGGACCCGATGCCAGCTGGCCCCCAGTTGCGGAGCCTTGATGCCCCCGCTACACTGCAGCGCATAAAAAGCCAAGGTGGCATCAGGGTGTTCGACCACAGGACAGAGCATGAATTCGGCCCTGGTCATCAAAGTGTGATAGAGCGTGGAAAGGTGCCAATTTTGAGTCTGCGATTGTGCACATAACAAAGTAAAAGCCTACTGTCATATTGGTCGATGATGCTGTTGACGATGCTGCAGCATTGTGCTGATGGATTCCTTTCCTTGTGGGAAGATTTCGGGGTTTCAAATAGGTTTGGTCGTTGTGGAAATTCTCTTGTGCTGTTTGATTGATTTCTCATCCTAACTGCATTCATGCAGTGCACCAAACATTGTTCAGTCGCCTTGACCAAAGGCCAAATGATCAGACTTTTGTTTCCACTCTGGCCTTGTTGGCCATCTGAACCTTGTGCACAATCCCAGGTCACACCTGCCTCCACAATAATGTTGCACCTGTGCACTTTTTTTTTCCACGCACACTGATCCCTACATGCTGTTCAGCATTGCCCTCCACAACCACAATCTCTGTTCACGTGAATCCAAGATGACAACTGGCTGAGTTTTGATTTGTTGGACCTGTTTGGGTATCTACGTGTGCAACACCATGCCACAACACTCTGTAGGGTTGACTCTGAATGTTTACTGAATCAGGATGACGCCCAAAGGTCATATCAAAGTTTGTTTGATTGCGCAGAGGAATAAGTGCGCTTCAGCATCAAACATTTGCGCTTCTGAACAGCACTTGAAATGGCCTCATGGCTGGCATGGTGCTGAATTACTGTGATAGATCATGCACTCTGTGTAGCAAGAAATCAAATCAATGTGTAAGATAATTGTCCCATCATTATGTCAAATAGAACTCAACGGCGTATCAAATAGAATAAATGGTACATGGCACAAGGGCACTGAGTTGTTGCAACTTTTTGATGCTGTCAGCACAGATTCTTATTGGTACGTTTATTTGTGTTTCTGTTTGAGAATGGATGATTTGGACCTCTTTGATAGCTGCTGTGTGCGCTGGTGCCTGCTCCCTGTCACCATTCAATTGATGACATGCATCTCAACATACAAACTACACTGGATTTATCTGACATCACATAAGGGTACAAGGGCAATTGTATGTTGCAGTTTGGTAAATACGACCAGTTGGCAGTTGAAGTCTCAACTTGTCCCAAATATGTGCGCTTGCAGGCAATTGAAGATGCTGCACGCATGGAAGAATATGGACGAGTTATCACCCCAGAGGCACTGCTGACAGATGAGTCAGAAGACGTGTGCCTCAGAATATTGGAGTGCCTGTCCATGCGTGACAAGTGGCTGTTTCAAGTAGCGCCTGAAAGGCGGCCTGAGAATCGAAAGGTATCTGCCCTCTGCATTGTGGCACACATTAAGTAGTGCAATCGTTAGTTTGGTAGAGCTTGGGTACATATAAGAGTGGTCACTACCTCATTTTGGAAATAAGACCCACATTGCTACACTGCAGGTCTGTCAGCCTGCCAATGCCCGTGTTTGGAAGTTGCACCATTTTTTGTACATAGTTGATCGGTCATGTGTCTCGGATGCATCCTGCGCACCCTCAGAAGGTCATGTTCTTTCTGTGAGAAAGTCAGTGGCTGCAGCAGGCAGTTCAGGTTGAAACAGAAAGAGCCCAAAAGGCAAGCAAAGGAATCCACACTGCTGGCTTCATCACACAAATTTGCCTGCAGTTCAAATGTGCACCACATACATGGTCCATCCTAGGCAGTATAGAACATCTGAGCGCATGCCTACTGAAGGCTGTGTACGCTATGTGCAGAACATGGGAGAGGCTGCCTATCCCAGTGACATCACTGGGCCGTTCTGTTGGAATTTCACTCCGCTTCCCGTGTGTCATTTGAATTTTACCATGGCCAATGGCGTGTACCATGTGCACAAAGAGAACGATGACCCCCCAGCCACTCAATTTCCTTTGCCCGGAAATCTGGAGGAGTTCATCGCGGACCTGCAATATATACTCAAGGTGAGGGCTGTTATGTGGCCAAACAACAAAAGGATGTGCTAGTTGACAATTGTGGACCCCCATGCCAGTGCCAGGTGGCAAAAGTAGATCAGTTTAAATCAGAATGAAATATTTCTGCAATGACTTCTTTTACCTGGCCAGTTAAACTGTCCCTGATCACTCTCGCGCACAAGCTAGAACACCTCTTGACAGGAGGCAGCATGCTGCACAATGCGCGAGCCCATTTGAGCTTGGAACATTTGTGCAGATTTTGTCTATCCTGTTGACAGTGATGCAGCAATCCCTTGAGCACTGCACACTTAACTCAGTGGGCCCGTATGAGCAGGTGGGAGCCATGGGGCCTGTTAAGACCTTCTGCTTCCAGCGGCTGAGGCTGCTCGAACAGAAGTTCAACCTGCATGTGATGATGAATGCCGACAAGGAGTTCCTGGCGCAGAAGTCAGCACCCCATCGTGACTTCTACAATGTCCGCAAGGTGACCATTCATTGTGCACTTGTGACTGTGCATTGCTGTGTCTGTGCCATTTGTGTGCACATTCCCTGGTCATGGAGAAAAGACGGCCAAGGATATTGCAACAGAATGGGCCTCAGGCATGTACACAGTAACATGTGCTACAGGACCTGCAATCTTCCCAGTCACCAAACAGGCTGTGCACAAAGGGTGCATATAAATCCTGTGCAAACGACTGCTATCCAAAGCATTTTGATGCCCTTTAGACGGTAGATTCTGCTCAATCTTCTAGTGTAGTACAGGCGTGCTGAGGTGAAATGGAGATCACAAGAAATTGCTCGAAGGAGATAGTGGTCCTTACACAAATGGTCGATGGAAACAAGGTGCAAGCCCCTCTATGGCAGTCCTGAAGCATGTTTGGCCATACAATTCTTTGGTATGGCCACTGGGGTCACCCAAAGCTGTCTGTATCCCTAGATCCCCAATCATTCCATTGTAAAAATCTGCAGGAAGATCCCATTGCATTGCATGCTTCCCCACCGACCTGTGTTCCTGCACTCACAGACTTCTCGACCAACAGATGGCTTGCTCCCAATGACATTCTTTGTGTTTCACTTGGAGCAGCATAAAGCCCAGTCATGCATCTTTGGCCCAGTTCATCATTAGCCAGTAGTCGTGCATTTCAGTGATCAGCGTGGTGAATCTGTTGGTTCAGGTGGACACCCACGTGCACCACTCTTCCTGCATGAACCAGAAACACCTCCTGCGATTCATAAAGTCCAAGCTGCGCAAGGAGCCCGACGAGATTGTGATCTTTCGGGACGGCAAGTACCTGACGCTGGCAGAGGTTTTCGAGTCCCTGCAGCTCACCGGCTACGACCTCAACGTGGACACCATGGACACGCACGCAGACAAGAACATGTTCCACCGTTTCGACAGGTTCAACTTGAAGTACAATCCCTGTGGGCAGAGCCGGTTGAGGGAAATTTTCATGAAGCAGGTGAACTGGCATGTGCGATTTGGGTTTCCTGCTCGTCGTTCTCCTTATCAATGAACAATGGGTTTGGTCTCTTTCCTGGAGGCTGATGTGCAGACGTTTTACTTGGTCATTGTATATTTCCGGTTTTTTGATTCACATTTCGTTTTGGTTGTATCATAAGTCCATCTAGAATCTGCATGCCCACAGCTTGACAAAATGTGAGAATCCAGACATGAGCAGCACCACATGCTGCAGGCTGCTGCTCGTTGGCAGCACTCGCATAGGTGCAACAATACGCAGCTGACCATTTCTGGCCTTGTTTTCTTTTGCAGGACAACCTCATTCATGGACGCTACCTGGCGGAAATCACCCGGGAGGTCTTCGACGATCTGAAGGCCTCAAAGTACCAGCATGCTGAATACAGGATCTCTATTTACGGCCGCAAGCAAGTCGAATGGGATATCCTGGCGGCTTGGATATGCTCGAACAAGCTGTACAGCGACAACGTTGTGTGGCTCATTCAGATCCCACGACTGTTTCAAGTGTACTTCGATCAGGGCATCATGGAAAACTTTGAGCAGATGTTAGAGAACATCTTCCAGCCGCTGTTTGATGTGACGCGAGACCCCGAGACCCACCCCCAGCTACACGTCTTTCTGAAGCAGGTAATCTGTCATACTAGCGGCAAATAGTGACGATTTGACCACTAATCCATTCTGCATATTCTGTCATCACTACGCAAAAGGGGCCAAATAACACGTGTTCGAATGTGTACAACATTTAACGTTTGGGCTGTTTTTGTGTTTTTAGCTTGCAGAACACTGGTGAAATGCATATGTATGTGCTCACCAAAAGTTTTATTTGGTCCTTTTCTGCTAGTGCATCTTGCCAACCGACATTATGATCCCAACGCAATGCGTCTTTTGTAAGGATCATGAGGCATCAGGCGACGTATGCGAGCAGCACGCAATGTGCGTGGTGCCCATCGATATTTCCATGGCTGTGCTCGCAATTAGAGTTGCTCCTGTAGTCGGTTTGAAGGCAATGTGTGTTTTGTTGGGTTTTTTTTGGGACAGCACGTCTGATGGAATGTTGGTGAAAAAGGAAAGCTGGTTAAAGACGACATGACGATCAGTCAAGACGACGAGGCCCAAACTGAGCGTTAGCAATGATATAGTTGATGAGGATCTGTAACTTACAATGGTAGTGATAAGATACCTCAAGTTATTGGTGATAACATAAGTTTAGCGCTACTGTCAATAGCAGCAATAAAGGAGGTGAGCCTTTATTTTTGCCGCCGCAGATGATGCGGAAGTCGGCTGTGACATTTTAGTGATGGCAATGGGAAACAAAATAATTCGCAAGTGTAGACATATCTCTGACAAAATCTCCAATTGAACAAAAGTCCATTTTTGTGTCTGCACACATGAGCGCCTCGACGTTCCAAAAGTATTGTCGATTGAAAGCATGAGAGCCAAGAAAGTAACGTGTGGCAAATGCACATACTGCACATTCCAATATCAATGTGTCGGTGTCAATATCAACATCAACGTCAATATTAATACCAATGTCAGTGCAATTCAGTTGGTGATTTCTGCTTGCTGTTCCGCAGGTGGTGGGCTTCGACATGGTGGACGACGAGTCCAAGCCGGAGCGCCGCACCAGCAAGAAGGCCCCCGCCCCGCGCCAGTGGTCCATGGACGCCGACCCGCCCTACTCCTACTACGCCTACTACATCTACGCCAACCTCTACGTCCTCAACAAATTCCGTGAGGCCCGTGGCCTCAACACCTTCTCCTTCCGGCCCCACGCCGGGGAGGCTGGAGACATCGACCACCTGGCCTGCGCCTTCATGCTGTGCGAGAACATAGCCCACGGCATCAACCTGCGCAAGTCACCCTGCATGCAGTACCTCTTCTACCTGGCGCAGGTAGAGCAAACATTTCGAGATCCATTTGTCTGTACAGAACTTGTTCCTTTTCTTTTGCTTTTGATGGAATTTCCCTGCACAGATCAACTAGATCTGGGTTGGTTTAATCAAAATACCTCACCTCCATGCCAATGTATATGTGTATGTTCAAGTTCAGGATGACCAATCAAACTAAGGGTTGAATGAAGAAACAGAGTGGACAAAAGTGGCCATGCATGGCACTGCTTGTGAATAGGCCCGGAGATTGGACTGCTTTGGGACATGTGTTCACATGATGTAAGGAGTTCTGCCTGGCGCAGGTGGGCCTCTGCATGGCACCGCTCTCCAACAACTCCCTGTTTCTGGACTACCACAGGAATCCGTTCCCCACGTTTTTCGCGAGGGGCCTCAATGTGAGCTTGTCCACGGATGACCCGTTGCAGATACATTTGACGAAGGAGCCGCTCGTGGAGGAGTACAGCATTGCGGCGCAGGTAAGATGCCTGAACATGTGCATTAATGCATGCTGCTTTTGACTATGTGTTGCTTGTAGAATATCCGATTCCAATGCATCGGTAAATGGTTAGTTACTCATTCCTCAGTCTGTTGTTGTATTCCTTTATTCGACGTGCCAGTGTAGTATTTGGTAGCACACTGCCACCACCGTGAAATTTTGACATGTCTAATTTGTGCACTGCATTTGTCTTAAAAGGATCGTCCATTGTCAGGAATTGCGGTGAGTGCATGATTGACATTTCAAAGAAGAGCTGCAAAGAGACAAGTGCATACAAATGACGCGTGCCAATGTGCCCAACGGGTGCAAGGGCGCATTGCTTTGTCACGCCACAGTCAGCCAGAATGCACCCAATCAGCGGGGGGGGTGCAATAGCTCCGAGACTGCACATATTTCGTACATTATTTTGGGGTTCAGGCTACACTAACTGTCGTGATGATTGTGGCTTCAACAAGAGGACCACAAACTGGATGCATATGACAAGGTTTGGGACTAAGTATGACAAGGAATGGCATAATTTAATGACAGTAACATATTGCAAGGATTGGGAATGATAGTGATATATCGAACCTTTCCGCATTTTGAAATTTCAGCGTCATGATTTTTGCTCTGCATTTTAATGACAGGCTGTTATTTTGGGGGTCTCCCCATCACGGTCACAGTCGGACTGGCGACTCCGCTCAGTTGCAGATGTCCTCAAAACCTGGTTTTCCGCCACAGCGACTCCTGCATCTGGGGTGCTAGGCGCCGCGAGCAGTCCAGAGATCCTCGCTTTGCGGCTTGGGCTGCTGCAAAATTTCTTGGCATCTTTGTGTTTTTACCACTGCTCTGCATGAAAGAAGGCCAAACGTTCGCTGCAATGCGGAAGGGTATATCATACTGAGGTAGAGGGACTGGGTGTGCCGTCCAGGTGTGGAAGCTGAGCCCCACCGACTTGTGCGAGACCGCCCGCAACGGCGTCCTGTGCTCCGGCTTTCCTCCCGAGTGCCAGAAGCACTGGATCGCGTCGGAGTACTGGAAGCCGGGGCCCGACGGGAACGACATCAGGAAGACGAACGTGCCCAACCTGCGCCTGAGGTTTCGGTACGACACGCAGAGAGACGAGCTGGCGCTGCTGCACTTGGGGGCGCGCAACTCGGAGAACAGAAAGAACAAGGGGTCGGACGTCGATCCGTGACCAGGGCGAAAAATGCGCATGTGAATAGAGGCGCAGGGGGCCGTCTGTGTGGGCACAAACGTGCTGGGAATGCAGGTTTGGCATTCCTTGCGCTCGTGATGTTCTGGGCTGGGCTGGAACAATGATTTTGTTCGGGTGTATGAGCACCGGTCTGGCAGCGCAGTGGCACTGCATTGGTTTGGAGGCGTGCTGACATCAGTGGAGGGAATGGTGAGCGCCTTGGGGCGTCTTTTGTGGCGTTCCGAAGGTCTCATGCAACGAACCGAATTTATTGAGTTCGTGCAGGGCGCCAGAAGATAGGCAGCTAGTAGGGACTCTGTGCAGCGTTTAGGGTAGGATTGGTCTTGGAGGTTCCAGTGATTACAATGTTCCAGTGATGTCGCATGGGCCGTTCTTGTGCTTATAAATACCTCTTTTCGTTATCAGGGGGATTTCTTCGCCCAACGATTTCATTCCGTGCTGTGGAAGTTGCTGACTCCGTAGTGGCCTAGGGGATTGGTTTCAGGGAGAGCGGGGGCGCTCTTGGCAGCACTTCTGTGAAATAAGAACCATGTGCTTGTGTAATAGTGTGCATCACTTCGGTCGCAATGGCGATCGTGCAGATTCATCGCCCTGCGGGGCGGTTGGCGGCAGAAACGAAAAGATGAACAAGAGGATCGACGTTCTGATTTTGTTGTACTGGCCACTGCAATGCACGGCAAACCGCCGCCGATGCACCAGTGAGGCGAACCTCACCTCAGCTGCAGCTCATTCGAAGCTTCGGCGTTGATGGAGGTGGCGCATATTCAACAGCAGATATTTGTGTTGCGCTGTGGCGTCGCCACAGGGAGGCTCATTCTTTGCGAGTTGGAAGGATAGCAGGGACGGCAACCTAAGAATGCACGCGGGGAATTGGCACTATGCGCGAGAGAGGTGCTAAGGACACACGCGGCTGAGGGATGAATGTTTCTAGGTTCCAGCATTTACCTTTGTGTATTTAGGGCTGCTGTTCTCAGGCAACTTCTTTCAGGTATCCATGGGATGCCCCATCGGCATCGTCCCTCATGATCATGTGCCTCACGCCATGAGGACCCACTTGGACCGTGGTCCCCAGTTGCCTTCATTAGAAACGATTGATGCTGAGAAGAAGATTCAGACAGGCAAAAAGGAGCCTGTGTCGCGTCAAAAGCTCTTGATCCTTGCACACGATCTCGAGATTGTGAGAAAGCATCGATGGCTGGCCAAGTAAGAGCGACGTATTTTATCCCCTTTGGTCAAAATCTTGGTAATGATGTGCACGGCAGTTTAATGCTGGCAAGTGACTGGCCCAACTGAGGTCGGCTGGGTATCACTGCACAAGCCAATCAGGAAAACAGGGGCCAGACTCTCGGAATTTTGTCATATCAGCGCAGGTTCGTGTGAAGCACAGATTTACGAATCGTACAGATGTGTCATCTGGACCTGCAGCTGGCCGTAACTTTTTCTCTAAACACTTGTGCCTACATCTCCGTGCGCGGCTTTGTCCACACCTTTATTTGTGTTTTCGCAGTCTTGCCACTCATGGGACTTTCCAACGTCTCTCCACTGTTGGGTTTGCGCGCGTGCTTACTTTAGTCGAACGCTGTTTTCGTTCTGCCGCTTGGCAGGCTCCCAGTAATTGGAGCCATCACCGCGGAGCCCAAATTTGGGCCCAAATTAAATGAGGCAGTGATTTGTCGTGGTTTCACCCTCCACGAAGGACGACTCTCGCCGCATGCATGACGACTCTTCACATGGCTCGCCTCACCCAGCTCTCAACTGGCTTCTGATCCCCAGAAGGCTGTCTGTGATGTAGGAGGTTTTTGTGGTGGTCCACGAGGTCCAGCTGTCCACCAGCGCACTATTTTGTTGACCAATAAAGAAACTCTGCTAGTATTAACAGGACTGAAATGCAGTAATGGGCATATTTAATGGAAGACACTGTTTTGATATTTTTCCACTTATACTCAACGGCCGAAATGGGGGCGGCCCCAGGCGTCAATATGCATGTAGACGGGGTCTTTTTTCGCACACCGAAAGGCAGTTCCAGATATTCCTTCCCTGTCTTGATATTGGTTAATTGCATTAACGGTCTCTGAATGCCCACAATGTGGACCTTAGGGGCCATTGAGCTCTGTGTCTTGAAGCAGCACAGTCTGTTGCCTTAGTGTTCCAACAGCTATGGATCACAGAGAGCTGTGCATCTCATCGCAAAATGCGTGACATTGACGCGTTGCAGTGTGGCGATTGTTGGCTGCTGGACTTGCGCCCATTTACCTAATTCATGATAATAAAGTCAAGAGGCCGTTGTTCCTAATTCCTCCCCCACCCCATCCCCCCCACCCCCCTCTCCTTTGTGGACTCACTCTGCCTTCCGAAGGCGGGCGAGTCCACCAGAATGTGGGTGTCGTTGAGTTTTGAATTTTTGTTTCAAGGCACAGACGTAGTGTGAGAAAGAAAGGCTTCTGTTCGCGACACCGCACAATGACCACCATTTCACTGGGTGGGTCACTTATGCCTTATGGTGTGCGAGTTGTGTATGCTTCAAGAATATGATTAACTTGTGAGGTGTTCTGAATCTTTAAAAAGAAAATGGAAATGTGTCTTAGCATGCACATAATCATGTCTCTTTTGATGGGACTTTCGTGAGCATGGATTGATTGTTGTGAGGATGCCATCTGACTCAGAGACAAACGCTGTGGTTCGGGTTGCGCTCGCAGCTGAAACATTCCTACATTCCCATTGAGTGTATGGGCGCCTATGGCACATGTGGTATGGAGTGGGCTGTGTTGTGGCGATCAATGGGCGTCTCTGAAGTGTCGTATGGCCGGTTGGTGATGGATGACGTTCCTTGTCGCGTGGAAAGGAGAGTTCTGTGGGTGCAAGGGGATTCGAACTGTTTGGTTGCAGGGGTCGTTGCCACCTTCGGCAAGGCTCTTTTTGCTGTGTGAAGGGCGAAGAAACGTGTGAGCCCCGGGCGTTTTGTGTGTGGCTGTGGCCTTGCGTGTGGCCGTGTGCGCTCAAAAGGAAGCCGGCTTGAATCTCATCAACGCCTTTCCTGCAACACTCGCTTTTTCACACTGCCTCTGCGCCTGGGCACCGACTCGTTCGAACCGCGGATTTCGCCCCTCGGACCGCTCCCTCGCCACCATCCGATTCAGCCGCCCAGTCAGCCCCCCCCAGCTCCTCCTGGCCCCGCATTCCTCCTCCACAAACCCACAGGCCCTGCCGCCCGCCCTCCACCCCACACATGCACACAGGCGCCCCACCTGTGATACATTTCAACCCGCAACGCCCCACCCAACACTCGTCCCTCCCTTCGACAAGCTCGAGCCTCGAAAACCTCAGCGCCTTGACCTAGGCCTTGGCCTCAAGCGAAGAGCGCGTTTTCAACCGATCCTTGTCCTGCCCTTGCCTGTGCGAGCACGTCAGCCCCTCCTTGCGTTTGGCTCCCTGCCTTGGCCTCCTTGCCTTTGCGCGAGAGAACGGATCTTCCCATGGCCGTTCGCGGCCAGGTGCCCAGGCTGTCTCAGCTCATGGCCCAAGTGCCCACGCCGCCCCAGAAGGCAGAGACTGCTCGTGCGGCTTCTTCCAGGGGGCAGGGTGGCTACAAGGCCGCCGTTCAGGACGCAATCGCGAGTGGGGTGGCCGGCAATCGAATGGAATCTTTCCAAGGGGGTTCCGGCGGCAATTGGGGAGATGGGGATGACATCATTGCTGGGGACTGGGCCGGGATGCGGAAAGGGGTCAACGAGCGAGAGAGGACGGTGGTTTTGGGCCGCAGGGGGGTGGAGGCGATGGATTTCGAGGGAATGAAGATTTGGGGAGCTGCGGATGCGAGGCTGCAGGGAGCATCCGTGCTGGAGCTGCTGAATTGGGAGGGGAAGGCGGAGGCTTTTGAGGTGGAGGATCGCGAGGCGCGGAGTGGTTGGAGAGCAGGGGCCAGGTGAGACCGTCGCGGCGTCCAAGTGGTGGTGGGGTTCTTTGTCTTTTGGCGGAAGGGTGGGATGTTTGGCCTTTGGGTGGCTCTTCAACAGGGGTGAAGTCGCCGAGCAGGCTGCTGTTTCTGCGAATGAACTACGGCGGCAATGCGGCGTTGCCTTTCGAGGGCCCCTTCTCTGGGTTCCTGTGATTCCATTTGTTGCAACACCGCGGCAACGCGACGCCCTTACTTGAGTTCGCGGTGGTTGCATGTTCGAAAGACGGGACACAGCGCTGGTCTTGCGCCTTAAAGGAGTTTATGTATGCAGCAACGTACCAACATTGGCAGTGTATTTCTTGTGCCAGCATCTGCCATGCGATGGACCGGTGGAATGGTTAGTGATGAACACTGATTGGTAAGATGGGATGGGCAGTGGTATCGGACGTTCGGAGCACAGCTCACATGGCAGGATGCAACGGGATGGCGTCCGCTACCCCGCCCCGCTTCTACCCAGTGGTTCTTGCTATTCCCTTTTATTCCATTTCTCAAAAGCAGCAAAATTGTCCATGGCTGAGAACTGTGGCTATGAGCCAGTAGGCCCACAAATCAAAAAAGTGCTTTCTTTCTCCATTTCCTGCCACTCATTGGGCCTGTTTATGATATTGTTTCAATTGATTGCGCACCTGCTCAGCAGGTTCCGTTTGCAACCAAACCTGACTGGTGGATACTCAATGTGACCAGGGGTCCCTTGGGCATGCGCAGTGGGGATGAAATTTTCATCGGGGGCGAGTCAGCACAAGACGGCCGCCTGGCGGAGCTGAGATGCCTGACAATCAAGAGCCTTCGTGCTCTCTGCCGACAACATGGTCTCATCCTCAAAGGGACGAAAGAAGAGCTGGTTTTACGCATCTCCCAACACGAGCAGCGCACAGGGCAGGCCTCCATCCTGAAGCCAGGTTCCACTGCTGCCGATTTGTTCAATTGCCTCAGCTGGGAGCTTCCTGCAGAGGTGGCTCTTTGAGGAAACTGGTCCCTTGCTTCCTCCTCCCTGGAGCCGAACGAACGTTTTCATTTGGGATTGTTGAATGATTGCGGCCCCCAGCAGCTAGGTGGGTGGCTTTCAGCGGGTGTCTTTTTCTTCAGATTCTTTGGCAAGAACGATTTGCCTTCATGGTTCTTTATTCTTCATTATTGATTGTCCTTGAGAGACGATTGATTGATGGTGAACTATTCGCTGGACTTTCTTCTGTTGGTTCAGTAGCTCGATTGCGCAGTTGCTGAATGGCAGATTCTCCCGTGCCTGAGTGATTTTCCAAAACTGTAAGGGTGCAGTGAGCGGTGGAACAAGCAATCAATGACACAGTCTGCCAGTATTGTGCCGCGTGCACGACCTGATTCGCTTGATGGCTATTATGTGTGACTGCTGTCTTGCACACATGTGTCTTACATCCATGGCTGTTGTGGGAACGGTGCCTGTGAGCAGTGAGGCTGTGTAAGAGTGTTGTTGACTTGAATGCGTTCATGGCACTTGGAGCGCTGATCATTGGGCAGGGCCCTGCCACTTTCAGGCCACTCCAAGAACTGGCCGATGAACGTATTTTGCCAAACGTGTATCGTTCAAAGTGGAAATTGAGAACAGGGGACAGCGCCGATTTTGTCCTCACGAAGTTTGGCTGGTTGAATGGCACCCTAGCGAAGGGGAGGATCGCCTCTTGAGTAAAAGATCACTGGCCCAGCTGCCAGGGACTACTCACTCATTGTGCTCGAGGTGCACAAAGATGCACGGCTCTATGGAACGGGGAGTTGAGAATTGTGTCAGTGCGCGATGTTGAACACAACAGACTGGGGTGCCACAATAATGGCACACAGTGCTGCGTATGCGACAGTGATTGTGGAGAGAACATTGCTGGATCTCCGCACAGCTCGAGCCAAACTCAGGAACCGACACTGTATTGGCACTCAGCCACTCTTCGCCTTGGGGGAAGCATGGCCTTTTCCGACTGAATAAGTGTGGACAAAGGTGCAGATCTGAACCATTCTCGAGGTGTCCCAGCGCCCTTATCGCGTTTGTCAAAGACTGATGTAGCACCCGCGCCTACCAAGGCGATGATGGATCATTCAAAGCTGCGGTCAATGTGTCTGCAATGGAAGCTGCATAACAGTTTCAAGGTCCAGAGTCGTGGACTTAAGACCAGCGAGTCGAAACAGGGCTGCTGGCGATGGGCAGATGGCCTGGATGGTGCACCTTGCGAGGCTCAGGCGAACGGGGTGGTTTTCCATTAGTTTTCCCTAGATGTTCCATTTCCTTATTGCCAAATACTATGTCAGGTGACTTCAACTTCAAGTGACCACGTGCCAGTGCCGTTCTAGGAGATTGGATGTGGAACTTTTCCATCCCACGAGAATGGGGAGGGATCCAGAGTCCAGGATGGGTCGGCGGTGTTGGTATTAGGTGCAAGCAGGAGCGGCCGCCACATCCCAGTTCACTGACGGAAAGCGTCACCAGATGAGCGGCAGTGATTAGTCGAGTTGGTTTTGCAGAGGCACGTTTCTGAAGTGCGGCCGAATGAAGGCTGGTCGAGTCGCATGTGAAGCCCTGTCGTAAGATCTCAACACAGGAGGAAGCCATGCAGATGTGCCAAATTGTAAAGTGGGGATTGACAGACGGCACACTGCTTCGGGCCACACGATTCACTATACAATGACCCCTTGGAGTCAGTATGATTGTACGCCTTTGAATTCTGGCCCCAAGTGATCTCCAGACTCATCAGACAACTGTTCTGAAGCCCAATACTGACCGATCGACACCACGGGCCTGGGAATGGAAGTGTCCATCCAGAATTTTTGGAAGCATTTATAGTTGCGCAGAAGCGCGTAAAAAATCTTGCAAAAGATAGCATGACGCACGAATCCTCATACACGATACATTTTGCCCGACCACACGGTATGGTCGAGTTCACGTTCTCAGCTGGCTTTTCACCTTCGTCTCCAGTTGGCAGCTGCAAGAGTCAAACAAATCTTGTCCTGGTGCCACGTGACTCACTTGGTCTGAGGCGCCCCTTTTCGACGTTGCATTGCTTCCAGTACCTGCAAACCATATCTGCTGTTGCTCCTGCTGCCGTCCTGATCCATGTATATCCCCTTGAATCAAGCGGCGATGCAGGCACGGATTACAACATTTGAGCACTTTAAAAATACACCACATGCCTGGGTGCGCCACTTGAACCTCATTGAATCCCACGCACGTTGCGGAAGGCGTGTGTGATCAAGACTCCAATGAACGCCATAGCAAAAATCGAACCATCGAAGTAGTTTTCCGTAGTTTCTCTTTTGCAGACCTTTGGAATAGTCCTGTGACTTGTTTGTTGAGGCCCTCAACTTGAGGGCTTCCCTTGGGAGGTTCTCGCGGACCTGGAAGCATCCCCACCATCCTTTCTTCTTGATTCAGTGATTGACCAACAGACCGTGGACACCGCCTCTCTCAGGCAAACGAAGAGCAACATGGCATCCCTTCGTGTGTAACGGCTGTGAAGTTGTGAAGTGAATCGATTGATTAATCCGTGGATGTATGCATCTGCGCTGTTACTTGCCTCCAAGACCTTAACCCGACCCTGCATTTTCTGCGGGCGCCCCTGCTGCGAACCAGGTTGCCCCAGCGCCGCAACGCCGACAGCATGCAGCCAATGGGCGCGCGCAAGCGCGCTCTGCCCAGCGACGCGCAGGTAACGGCGAAGCGCCAGTGCCGGGACGCGCCCCAAGGCAGTCGCCCCTTACTTACTCTGGTACCGTCGGCAGGATGAACCCGCTTTCCAACGCAAATCCTGTCCTGTCTGTCCGCTCAAAATAGCCGGTTATACGCGCGTGTGTGTGGGGTGGGGGGGGGTGGGAGGGGGCGCGGTGCCTGTGTAGTCGGTGGCCCGCTGTGCGGCATGCCGGCGGTCGGGACGCTGCTGAACGACGATTGCAGTGGGCGGCCAATCTTTGAGGATGAGGTAGGTTGGAGGGGTGGCGTGTGCTGGAACCTCGAGAGCTGTGGCATCCGCTGGGGTCTGGGAACCGTTCCGCGATGGTGTTGTCTGCCGTCCCTTTCAATCTGATGGTTGGGACCAGTTGTGGTCTCGAATGGATGGAACCTGCTAGGCCCCAAGAACGGGGCGGGCCGCAGTAGGCACCTGCAGCGGGTCTGCGCTGGTGCGGCGTCGTGGCGAGGCAGGACAACAACAGTCCAAAACAGAATTGGTCAACCCGTTTACCAGTAAAATCGTAGCATGGCCAGTCGTTTTCCGAATGCCATATTGATAGGGTCCCAAGATGTGGCAGCACACACAATGCCTTCCTTGCACCCAGAAGCTGTGCTGGAGTTGATGCGGCAGGGGTGAAGAGGGTATCATGTGCCCGTGTGGCATCAATTTCAGGCAACCTTCTTGCAGAATGCCAGGTTGGCAGCATTTTCTCACATAGCATTTGCCAACTGGCAGCCAGAGGCTTGAAAGGACACGCAATGTAGTGTTTTAGCTCGACTGACAAGTGCTGCTGTCGTTGTTGCTGGAGTCAAACAGCTTACATTGGATGTCAACCCTGGAGAATGCTATGTTCCGATTGACACCTCTGTGCTGGTTGCATGTCAGAACTATTCCAATGAGGGCTCAAAGCGACAGGCAGGGGAACAGGACCTCGCACTCAGGCTGTTGTGCCCTGCCGCAAGAGTTGGCAGTGTGATTGGAAAGGTATGCTCAAGGGGCATTGTTGCTGTCAGTCAGTTTTTGCATATACATTCAGCTCTAAATAGCATTGTGTCGGCATACTTGTGTTCCAGCAAGGTGCATCGTGTCCACAGCCAGGAGTGTCACTCCCTAGCTGATGCCTGTATTGTCCATCTGAAATCAAAGGAAAAGAGCGATTGCACAGCTAGCGAGGGCTGCAAGCATAGTTGTGCTGCTTGGGTCCTTGTTTGATGCTCCACAGCAACCACACTCCTTGTGGTCCTGCGTGCACTGCACATCGGCCTTGCTGCTCTTTTGCTTCATGGGACAATGCTTGTCAGCTCTTGTAGCCTTTGGCCTTGGCAAAACCAGTAGTCCTGCGGCATCTCACTGGCTGTGCTGGAACTCCCAAGTCTACTGAAGTGCACCAGGATGTCTGGACTGTCAGCATTAGAATGTCATGCCTACAACCTATGCTGGTAGATCACCAGACAGGTTCAAAAACTACGTGCCCAGGGCCTGATCGGGCTCAGTGCAGAGTGTGTACTCAGCACAGTTCCTGTGGTATGCATGTGAGCTGTTGAATCAAGCATCTGTTCATTCCTGCCCTCTTCAGCAACAAGGCCTTTTTGGGCGACTAGCTAGGTTTCATGACAAGCTAGACAACAGTTTCCAAGAGAAGCTGGGGAGCTGTACCAGTAGGAACAAGGGTCAAGCATATGCTTGTCAAATCAAAGAATGGGAACACCTGGCCCAAAGCCCCTTGACTGCTCCAGACATAAGACCAGAAACTGACAGCGCAGTGTGTGTGGTATAAGGGCGGAGAGGCAGTTCAGGCCCTTCGTAGGGAGACTGGAGCACGCATTCGAGTTGAGGCAACGATCCAAGGTTGCAACGAAAGGGTGATTGTGGTGTCTTCTCCAAACAGGTCAGTACTGCCGTTGTTTCTTGCATTCTGCAATGATATATTGGAGTACAGTGCTGGCACATGCAGGTAGAGCATCACCTTGCGTAGGGCAAAAAAACAGCCACTACTGTGATGGCGCCAGAAAATTATTTGCAGAATTGTAGGTGCTAACAGAGCAAAACCCAAAAACCATGTGTCGAAAAATTCATGTGTCCAAACAACCATGTGTCGATGAAAGGCTGGGACCCTGCTTTGTTTGTGCTGCAAGTGCTCGAGGTCCTTCTGTACTTCTCGCCTACCTGAAGTTCACGGGGAGGGTGATAGTACAGTGGTGTATTGTGGTGTGCACAGCATTGGCAGTCCATGAATGCTGCAAAATGCTAGGCTCACAGGCTGATAGAGAAGTGCCCATGTGGCACTTTACGCTCTCAAAGGGGCTCTTGTGATGTGTTGTTGGCTATCACCCAAGGATAAACTGTTTTCGTTGCCCTGATAATATTTTAACGTGTTACAGCTAGTTTGGTCCAGCATTGAGGTTTCATCGCCTACACATGACTGTCATACACATCAGCCATTGGCAGTTGTATCTCCATGAGCCGTCATTTGTATCTCCAACAGCTGAGCATCATGTGCACAGCATGAAAATGAGCCTGAAAAGATCTTGCATAAGAAGAGGGCGCATCCCATGTGACATATTGCTCACTTTGCCAAGAGCACATTTTGGAACTGAATTGTGTTCTACTTCTCCGATGAGGTGCGAGAAGAATTTTTTGGGTCGTGCCTTGAGATATGAAAGCAGGATCGTGATATGAATGAATGAAAATCCTTACAGGCAACGTGAAAATTCGACACAAAGGTCATGTCACGTGGCTCTGCTGAACTCAAATAGTCAGACAGCATCCCCTTGCTAGCGGTCTCCACTTGACCTCACAATGATTGGCAAACGCCCCACCTTCTCAGCATCAAGGAACACCATGTACATAGGTCCACAGACAGCAACACACTCAGAAGAGAACACTGCAACATCGTGATGCATTTTGCAATAATATTCAACTCTATGTGGATACGAACAAAACATTGTCCTGCTGCCTTCATGGGCCACTAACTTGATCTTTGCATCTGCCGCACAGTCTCAGCACCACCGTTCCAGCAGAGGTCGCCCTCAGGGGTGTGCTTGACAAGATTTTTCAGGAGGACATGCCAGAAGATGGTGGGGACCTTCCCAGGGTGACCATTCGGATGCTGGTGGATGCTGGACAGATAGGTGCAGTTCTGGGCAAGGGTGGCAGCATCATCGCAGACATGAGGCGGAACACAAATGCGCAGATCAAGGTCCTTCAGGGGAACGAGTTACCCGCGTGTGCCTTGGAAACCGATGAAATTGTGCAGGTACGACACATCCACAGAAGTTCACCTGGCGCTGTTGGAGGGGCATTGTTTCACTTTTGACACGTGTCATTGTGGAACCATTGTGGAGCCATTGTGTTGTGCATTGAGGTGTCGAAGATGAAACCACGTGTCGCATCGCTGACACATCAACCAACTCTGAACACGTTGCAGCCCCAGAAACCCCGCGATTCAAACACATGTTTCAACATTCAGTGGCACTACCAAGACCCGTTTCGTATGTGTAATCAGTGAGGATTTCCGCTCTAAGATTCATGCTAAGCTTATTGCTGGAGTGCAATCGGATTGTTTCACTTCAAATGTGCAGCTCAGAGTGTGAACTAATCAAGTTTATGCCCAATTAAGACCCCTGCAGAATGGCATCCCATTTCGTTCCTCCTTTTTCTGACATTCTGATCTTGTTCTACATGGCCCAAGATAATGTGCGAGTGTTTTAGGTGTTGTATATTCAATCATTCAGGTGTCCCTTGCTTGTGCAGTTACTGCTGCCAAAGTTGTGTATCTTGACACTGACTTGAAAAATGTTGAAGCCCTGCTAAGTAATGCTTACCTAGTTCAGAAAAATTGTCCCGCAGCATGCAGAAGATGCCCAGAAAAGGCACCTCCACGGCAGCAAAATGACTTGTGCTGGATTTGCGTGTGTGCAGGTTTTTGGCGAGTATGACAAAGCTGTTGCTGCTGTGAACATCATTGCACAAAAGCTTAAAGGCGCCCCACAGCGCCGTCGCAATGTTCCGCAGATGGGTGCACCGCATAACCCCGCCCTTGGTCAGCAGCACTTCATGTCACCCTCGCCATCGGGTAAGGGAGGTTGCCATCATGCTGTTCAGCTTCTGTGACTTCCATCTCTTTCTAGTGTGGATGTTGAGGGTGCATTGAGCGTGTTGGCAATGGGGAAATGCACCAATCAAGGAAACATGTTGGGCATCGGGGGACTGCTTCCTGGCAGGATTGCTTCGAGGGCGTGGTCAAAAATCCTTGATTTTTGTAGCAATTACACAGCTCAGTCCTTGCTTCCATTGGAAATGCTGGCAATGCCCTCAAGGGCGGACAACCCGTTGCTGGAGATTGTACAGCAAGTGTCGTGCCACTGCTGACAGAGTACGTGATTGGACATAGCCGGCCTGGCATAGTCAAAGGGCCAGAAGATTGACGTTTTGTCCAACTGTAAGGCGGTGCAAGGGGACAAAGGTGCAATTGCAAACACCTTCAATCAAGGACTGTTGACTGATGCTTTAAGCAAGCAACGAATGTCCCTTGTGAGAGTTGTGAGTGCAAAATCCACAGGCCCAGCACAATCAGTGACAAATTCTTTGGCACCAAACATCTTTAACCTCAGACTGACTTGTCCCAAAGCATAGTGCGTTGACCGATCATATCTGGCTGCATGCAGGCGTGTCTGCCTTTGGGGTCGGCGTCTCCCCAGGTGTCTCCAATGTGTTGCAGCTCCCTGGGGTTGGGCCCCAGCTGCTTGGGGGTGCTGGACTTGTGGAGGCAACTTTCAGGCTCCTGGTGCCTGAGAAGTTAACAGGAAGCATCATCGGCAAGGGGGGAGAGGTGAGGAGAGGGCGCGGGGATGTGCATCGCGCACATCTCCATCACACACTGTTTATGATGCTATTGCCATCAATTTGTGTGTATTTCTGTATATGTTATTCTATTTGACCCAAATGACAGACATGTCTAAGTGCACACCATGGTCGTTGCATATAGGCAAACCATTCCAATGAATCTGTGGCTGTTGTGATTTTCATATGAAAGAACGCCCATAAATGTTCACATCTATTGTTAAGCACTGTTTTCTTCAGGAATTAATTCAAGCGTTTGCCTTTGAGGTGTCATCTGTGCCTTGAACTTATTGCTCTTCCTTGAGAATCAAGCCAGAGTGCACCCATGAGTTTGTCAATTGATCTGAAGTTCTGGTAGTGACCAGACTGCAGCAGCAAATTTGGCAGTGCATCAGATCCACCTCCCTCCAAACCACATAATGAACCATCTAAGAGCATCGCTGACCACCGAAGCAATGGCATTCCATATTTTGGAACGCCCCACTCTGAAGTGGAGTAGTTCCCACGAAACTCAATGGTGTCAGAAAGGTACAGATGGCCATGCCTACTCAGCTTTGGCCGAACATTCGACACCCTTTGTCTTAACAATCGGCAGAAAAATGTTGTTTCTGAATCAGGGAACTACTGCCAGAAACGTTGTCTTGGCTCTTTTGCCAACAGTGCTGTCCTGTGCGATTGTGTCTCTAAGTAGGTGTGCAGACCAGAAGCCCGTCACCTGCCTGGGCCCATTGTTATTGAACTTATCCACACATGCGCATGCGGCAGGTAATCAGGAGAATCCGTGAGGAGACTGGTGCCAAGGTGATCATCTACAACACGGTGGAGAGGTGCGATGAACGGGTGCTCAAGTGCGTGTCCATGGACGACACAACGGCGCAAGTGTGCGCTGCTCAGGAGGCCATGATAAGAGCCCTCTTCTGTTTGTTCAAAAATGAGGTATGTGCCCCCTGCCCTGATTGTGTGCACTCATGAGAATGCACTGTTTGCCAAGTTGCCTGGCTGATACCAAAGTCTTCTCGTGTTTGGTATCTCTAGGGTTTGAAGGGGACCAGCTGTTGGAACGATTAAGGGAGTAAGCAGAACGACTGGGCAAGTGCTTGGATGCTGTATCCAGGGCATGGCCCAGGTGATTACTTGGCTGTTGCACAATTTGTGCTTGACCTGGTGTTCCTTGTGGATTTGTAGGAGAACAACCCTGGCGCAGTGTTGAGCATTCGCATGCTAATACCATCCGACCAGATTGGGGCAATCATGGGCAAGAAGGGCACCATCATCAAGTGAGTTTCTGTGCGCTGCATGGATGGGCATTCACACCTGTACCATATATGGGGATTCACACCTGTACCATGGATTGGCGTTCACACCTGTACGGAAGTGTTGACCTTTGAAGCATGGGCAATGTATGGTGTTTGTTACCCATCCAATCTGTTGATGGTGTCGATTACAAGATAACAAAGTATGACCAAAGCTGTTCCAGCCATAGAAGGAGGCTTTGTGGCAGTGAGCAGCAGGACAAGAAAAATACTAGAGAGTAGACATTGTGGGAATTCCAGAATGGGGTCAAAACTGAGTTACGTGCTGGAAGTTGAAGCTTACACCTCTTGATACGTCGTGCTTGAATTTGAAATTCTAGAGGAAGCAATGTGACATGGCAGTTGAAGATCACAGGACACCAGTGAACAAACACAGCTTATAGGAAAATAGTGCATCAGCTTGCCTACGGTCTACAAAGACCACACAACTCTGAAACAGAAGGAAAGGCTAGCCCCCACCTGAGGATTGGTGCTTCTGTTTAAAACCACGCAGGGGCATCCGCCGTGACACCGGTGCCATCCTGGTCGTCCAGCCACGAGACCAGCTGCCTGCATGCTCCCACGAGGGCGATGAGCTGTTTGAGATCAAGGGCAAGATGGACAGCGTCATCAGTGCCTTCCAGACCGTGTGTTCTCTTCTACGGACTAACATGGGACGGACCCAGGCAAAGGCGGCAGCAGAAGCTGGTGGGGGTGATCCCAACATCCCTGCTGGCGCATTTGGCAGTGGTGGATTTGGTGGCGTGTCCCAGGGACCCTTGACAGTAATCGCGGACAACCCAGTGATGCTGACAGCGGCCGGAGCGCCTGGCGTCGCTCTCCAGGCGGGAGGATTTGGTGTTGGTGTGCCAGGTTGGTTGCAGCTCTTTCGATTGCACTCTGCCCTAGCCACTAGAAGAAGCAATGGCTGTGCATGTTTGAAGAGACGCACTGGGCAGGAGCTTTAAACAGATATTTACTTGTTGTTGCTCAACATCGACTGTCTGATGGGCCTGTGGCTCCTGCGAGTTTTCCAATTTGTGACAAGTGTGCACACCATCTGACAGTTGTTTGTTATGAGAGACCGTTCCTCCTGTTCCTTCTCTTCTTACTGCTGACGTCGCTTGCTTCTTTCTGCTTGTTTGCACACCTGTCAGCATTCCTGAGTTTAGTACTCTCTGTTACTGCTTGTCAGATAGGCGACTGAGTTCTGCTTTTGGCTGCCATGCTGCCCCCCACAGGACCCCAAAATTTGATTAATCAGTATGCTCAGGCAGGCGGCCTCATTCAGCAGATGCAGCAGCCCCAATTGGCAGGGGCCATCGACCCATCCGTGCTTGGCTTGATGCCCAACCTCAACATGGCTGGTGCAGGCCAGGTGTCTGTCCGCCTGTTGCTCACCCAGCTGCAAGCTAATGCTGTGACTGGGCAGGGAGGAACGAACCTGAGGCAAATAAGAGAGGTGTGCAAAGTGTGACAGAGAGACTGGTCTGCCTTCATGGCATTTGCCTGACAAGTCAATATCCTTGCAAGTGCAGAAACAGTAATTGGTGAAAGATGTACCTGTTGTATTTGCAGATTTCTGGAGCATTCGTGAAGCTGCACAACCCACAGGCAAACGGCGACAGAGAGCTTGAGCTGGTCGGCACTCACGAGCAGACTCAGGCTGCCCAAAACTTGGTGAACACCTTCCTGCTGGTGGCTTCCTTGCCCACCCAAGTACGGGTGGTTGTGAACGCAGATGGAACTGTGATGCAGGGCCAGCCCACCGTGGGCACAGGGCTGTCCACGGGGGGCCTGACAGGTGGCGCTCAGTTCATCATGAAGCAGGAGTGAGTTTGTGTGCAGGTGCGGGAGGCGCTGCTGTGAGGTGCGTTGAACAGCATTTTCTGAATCTGAATTGCTGTGCAGTGGCCTGTTGCATTGAGACCCTTCCAGCTGTCAGCCTGTAAGTGGCATGCTGCAAAGTACCTAGGCAGCACAGGAGCCATGGGCTGTGATGCTGCCCCATGTTGTGTTGGCTGCATGAGCAGCATGCAGAGCCACACCGCTGCTCATACAGCCCCCTGTGCTGGATGGCAGCCAATTCAGGTTTCCGATACATTTCACTTCCGCACAAATGGGCATGACTCCTGTAGTCCTGAAAAGTATGGAACACCTCTCGTGCCCCTCAGAGCAGTGTTGTCTCTCAAAAAGATACCGATGCTGGACGGCCAGCAGCTGTTGCTGCCGTCTGTTGCGTTCCACTGTGTGTTGTGTCCCCGAGCACACCGTAGCTCCGCCAGCATCCCAGCTGTGCAGTTTCCGCCTCCGTTGCCAATCCCGCAGAGTTTACCAATTCCATTTTCGACTGTGGGCTCCACAGACCTGCATTTTGAGTTTGCAGTTCGTGGTGCTGTTTCTGTCACCTTCCTGACACACATTTCTTTCTGACTTGCCGTCCTGATTCTCCCATGCAGACCTGGAACTGTTAGTCGCCTGAACCCTCCAGATTGTTTGCTGCCCAAGACCTCCTTTGACCCCATTGCCCTCTCTTTTGATGATGGATGCCTGCTCCCTGACAAGATGCCAACCTTGTGACCCACTGAAATGCCCAAAGCCCATGAGGAGCCCTAGTTCTGAGGAGACCTTCACCCGAACGTCGGTCCCGATAACTGCCCAGGCTCCATGGATCCAGAAATTTTTGAACTTCCAGGGACGCTGAAGTAAGGACAAGCCAGTATGGAACCATCCCATACGCCCTCTTTAAAGAATCGGCATAGGCAGCTGTCGAGTCCATGCCATGGATGAATCTTCTACGGGTCGCTGTCGAAAAGGACAAGTAGGGTCTGCAGTGAGTGGAAGGTCCAACAGAGCACTGTGCTCAATCCAACTTGCCAAGATGGCTCCATTTTGCTACCAGGAAGGGCGATTGGAGTCTTGTTGGTGTCTTACTTGAACTCATGGGAATTGCACATTTCGGCTGGGTTGATGTGTTCTTTTGTTGCCCGCATGTTGTAGACATTGTACTCAGAGTTCCCTCGTGTCCACGCGCCCGAGTGGTTGCTCCAAGGCAGTTCAGGATAGTTCAACGGAAAGGAAACACCTCAGAGTGCACCCCGTCCTGAACGAATTGAGGCTCTCTCCAGAGCGGGAAAGCTGGTGCTGAGGTGCAATGGCATCCGCCACTTGCCCCTCAACCGCACCTCTATAGAATCCATCGCGGAGCGAACCAGTTCTTTCGAGAAGTTCAGGGTCGAACGCGCTGCTGTTGCAGTTTTAACCATAAGAAGCGATGCCATCCGTCAGTTCTTCGACGCCAGCCGACATGGCGACTTCCAGAGTGCCTGCAACCCCCCGAGGCAACAGATTCGTTGCAGCGAAGCCGCAATACTCCTACGAGAATGTACTATGCAACTCTATGCTGAAAATGTTCTACGCAGCAGATTGACGATACTCCTTTCCATGCTATGAAGCCTTTGTAGTCGTCACTGAGAACAACTGGCAAGCACACAACAAGGACACTGTTACACCATGGTCAGGCAAACCCGTTCCAAGATGTTGGACTGCCCAGAGTAAACTCACAGAAGTATTGGGCAAGGAAATCCAAAGCTGCCAGCAACAATTAGCACCGTGAGTTTGTTGTTCTCATTGCGAGCAGCAAAGCAACAAGCAACAGTCTCTGTGAGAGGCTGGGCGCATCACCCTCCATGGTTTCGGTTTGGTGTGCTGCCTGCCTCGAACGGCGCTGGACGCGCCAACTTAACCCGAAGAAGAGGCCCAAGTTGTTGTGGGGCGGGAGGCGATGGCGACACGATCTCTTCACGGGTTTCCCATGCTGCGGGATGTGGAAACAAATATCCTTGTTGCCTGCTGCTTTGCAAACATGGAGGAAAAACTTAGCATCAAGAAATGTGTGCAGGTTTCAAGGCAACAGAATGCGGGTCCGACGCTGAGCTTTGGCCGCCTGTGTGTTCAAGAGCGCCGAACCAATGCTGCCGCTTTGTCCAATCAGGCCAAAGAAAGTTGCCCCGTTCCATGGTCGCAGACTCCAAATTTGTCTCCCTCTGATCCCTGTTGGTGGCCACAGGGGGGATGCCATAAGCCCGTGGCGGCTATACAGACCACAGCAAGGCATTGAGGTGCCCGCGTCGTCCTCCTGTGAATGTCGCAAATAGGAGTTCATGCCCTGCAGTGTTGGTCACGGTTTTGCGTACAGCAAATTATCCAGATGATGAGTTCAAATCACAGGACAATGTGAAGGCTGGTGCTAGCACATGGGCATTCTGCCGTCGGGTGGCGGCGCTTGGCGGCATCAGTGAAGGCGAGAAACTAGTGGCCACATCCCGTCTTTGCGCGGAAAAAAACGCTTGAAGGTGAACGGAGGGGGCATGTGGAGCGCGCTGTGCCGTTTGGCAGGACGTTCTGCAGCTGGTACACATCGCCGTTAGAGAAGGCGGGCTGCAGTTCAGATTTTGGATAAAGAGTAAGAGTGTTTGCACAGGTAGATTGTGGCGCCAAGAGCATGAACGAAACTACACCATTCGCTGCTGTTCTACACAACTACGCATGAATGGCGGCGAACTAATAATCAGCACTTAATAATCGGTTTTCATTGTTTTCTACTTTTGTGTAGCACCTGTTTTTATTCCCTTTTTACTCTTGTTGCTACTGTTCTTTTCCAATTTGATTTGGCTGTGCTTGAGAATGAACAACAAACTGTGTGCAGCAGGCAGTGTGCTTTTCTAACAGTGTTTGGCGTATGGCATGGGCCACTTATGCGTACGTATGAATGCCCAACGGCTGCCATGTACTGGGCCAGCTGGCACACACTACAATATTCCGCTTGCGGCCACTTTGCGCCAGGTGCGAAGTGAGAACAAGTGGAATGTTGAGGCGATTGCAGGGTCTGCACACACCTCAACGCCTCTTGTCTGCACTGCAGACAGGACAGTGTACATGTCCCTGGATGCTGACAGCGTGTGGAAGGGAGTGGCTGCCGAAGATTCTGCCGCCTTTGTTTGTGACGCCTGGGCTGTATTGCATGGGGTTTGGATTGAGCGTAGAATGCGGAGTCCAGTTAGTAACCAACGCCAACTCCACTACTCGTGGAAGCGCTCTGTCCACCGCGCATTGTACTGAAGTCTGGGCTTGTCGCTGGCCAAACGTTGCCCATTTCGCTCAGCGTCCAGCAGTGTTCAAGTTGTGTTCAAAGAGTACCAGATTGTGCTGCTTCTGCCATTTTGTGTGCGCCAGTATCTGATGATGAACGCGGTTTTGGACAACTGTGTATGGCTGACATGTCACTGGATTGTGCATTCAAACACGAATGCCCCCTGACGGGCTGCAGTTGCGCATAGAAGATTTGGGTTGCAAACACCCCAAGACGGGCTGTCATCTGGCGTGGAGCAAAAAGGCCTGAAAGCACCCCAAAAAATGGGCTGTCGAAAGGTGTGCATTCCGCAAATGGAGCTGATTGCACCTTGAACGATGGCAATGCAAGCTGCTGTGAGCCATCAGAAGCTCTTGCTTCCGGTGGTTCAATGCTGGCAACGGGAGCGTGGTGGTAATCCGAGCGGTGGTCAGCCCCGCGTGGCTGTCGTGCCTCCATTCAAAAGCTGCCTGACTGGGCGTGTGTTGCGTGAATGACACGTTCTCCTGCGACGAGCATCATTCTCCTCCCAGTCACGCAACCAGTTGCGGAATTGGTCTTGTTTAAGAGCTTGCGGAGCCCTGGTAGCCTGCAGTCGATGACAAGCAGCTGCCACACATTTCAAATGTTTGTCGGCAATGGTGCTCCGTGGTGGCGTTCCCTGTATCACCTTGCCAGCAATAGTGAAGCACCAAGCGGGATGCCAAAAGGATGCTTGGGTGGCTAATACAACCCAGCCCCCCGTATTGTCGTTAGAAGGACGTCAATATCATGGATGTGCGTGTCTAGGATAAGGCCATATCCCAGGAAACAGGGCTCCCATATCCTGGACATGGCCGCCGTATCCTGAATATGCAGGATATGGCGGCCATGTACGGGATGTGGCCCCCATATCCTGAGATTTGGCGATATCCTCGGGCATATCCTCGCCATACCCAGGGTATGGAAGTCTCATATCCTAATATGTATGCAGGATATGGGGGCCGTATCCAATTTGATGTCGAGGATATGGGGACCCCTGTGGCCTAATTCATATCCAGGATATGGGACATTTTGCCAACGGTGGTGCACCGTCGCAATCCTGTTGGTACTGCTCTATCCGCCAGCATGCGCGCCGGATTCTCGCCTCGTGCCCCTGAGTCAGCAGTATCTGGGAGCGGGAATTGTGGCGCTGATCTTGGCGCGGCGATGGTGCACCCTCGCAGCCAGCATCTGTGTGCTTTGCAGCATCTGTCGAGAAGCTTCAACAAGAGCGCTTCCGATGCAGCAGTGCGTGTGCCGCCAGGGGAAGTTGCGCATTGTGCATTACACGTCAAGCAAACATAATGTCACCAATCACGCCTGGCCTGTAGCGTCAGCAGCGAACAGAAGGGATGCAGCAGCCTGCACACGCAGGTGGACGAATCTCGACGCTTCCTTTCGCGGTGCTGGCAGATGCCGCCCTGTGATCGGTTTGCTGGTGTTGGAGACTGCAGCTCGCAGCGATCGGAGTATGAGCCTGGAAGTGTGGCTTTGCCCCTATTGGCGGTGGATTGGATTGTCTGGACTGGATCATGGCTGTGGCCAGCTTCACATGTCGTGGGTTCCAGCCGCTGCCTTCTCATGTGAAGTTTCGTGTGGCACGGGTCGTTAGCGTGATTGTGGAACGCACTTCCAATGTAACGAATTTGAGGACCACGAGGCTGATCACAGGGAAAGGGTGGCCGTTCCTGGCTTCAGTTTGTGGCGCCATTGGCGTTTCTGATGATGAGGATGGAGCCACGCTCGGGCCTTTCCCTGGCCGAGCACGGTGGTGCGAATGCTTGTGATGATGCAACGATGGTGCAGTGTCTACGTTGCACTGTTTCAGCCAATCTTTCCTGGCCCCCGGCTGGTCGCTTTTGCCACGGAACCAAAGCAGTGGCCTTCCACTGGAGCTGATGACGTCAGGTACCGACCACCAGCGCATGCTGCTTGTTCCTTGTGCATCCGACGTGTGTGTTGGGGATGAACCACCACAGTAAATTGGAATGGTTGCAACCCGATGCATTGATGTGAAGCGTTCGGTGCCACGAAGCAACGTGTGTGATTCAGAGGGTCACTGGCGGATCGGTCATCAACTTTGAAGGCAGTTGCCTTGGCCAGCTACCCGAGGAAGCTGAATTGAATCTGCGTACGCTCAGGGTGCAACAACATGAAGGGATGCGTCGCATAGTTGGCTCACCGTCATATCAACTCTGAAATTTCGTCGTGCGCCACATGTGGCATTCGCTGCAGGTGATGTGCGAGAATGAACAACCACCACGTGGTCGGCACACCAGCCAAGGAAAAAACGCTGCGATCCTTGGGCGGAGAGCCTTTCTTTGCCTTGCATGTTGCCGGGCCCATTTTTCAATTGAACGATACTTTCAGAGGATTTTCATGTGCCGTGTTGCGGCTGTGGCCTTGTTTGGAAGAGATGGAGCCATGACACTCTCCTGTGATAAAAATCCATGTACTCCGACTGCTACCATACAACACAATCGCCGTGGCTTCCCAACAATGTCTGGAACAGCCACAGTATTCTTCCGGCCGCATGGGCATCATCAACTACTCCGACCTTCATTCCTCTCCCACTCCAGCAGCAACCTTGCTTTGATGGCATCCCAATGGGCGTGAAAATCCTTGGCGACAGCGATGACTGACCGCACGATGCCACAGCCCTGCCTCCGAGAAAAATTGGAGCCCGACAAAGAGCGCCCGAAATCGCGTGTATCGCATATTCGTGTGCGCCCTGCGCTGTCCTGGGACTCTAGCCAAATCCCCTTATCTCTCTTAGAAGCTGGGGCATGCGGCCCCCTACCAGAGGAGGTGGATTGGCCCGCTGGTTCCTGTCTTTCCTGGATTGCGGAAACGCAGGCAGTCAAGGTGTCCATGGGAAGTCATTTTATGTATTTTTCAACAATAAAATAATATAAATAATTTCAATGATATTTCATTCATCCCTCCTCCTTATTTTTCCCTTACTTTTGGCAAAAGAAACTACTCGTCCTTTTCCGTTTAGTTTTTGGACGGCTATTGTTCGGGACGGCTTTCGGGTTCCATCGTCCGTTCTTTGTTTTGTGCCTTTGTTTTTCGCTCTGAGACGGTAAGGAGCATGTAGAAGAGCGTTTAGGGGAGCGCCAGCAAGGAGCGGGTGCGTTGGTATCTCTCTTACCAGGCGGGTGCCCCACGCATTGCGCACATGGCTCACCTGCTGGGTAGCATCACTCTTGCCAAAGGTGGAGGAAAAGTGGGATAATGCTCCGTCATTCTCTCCGGTTACAATCTCACCCTGCACGCCGCTCTCGCGGGAGGGCGAGAGAGCACGCGCCCAACCCAACATTGGCTACAGACGTACCAACAACACCGCACAAGCACATGCACATGTCGGTTCCATTAATGTCCTGATGGTTGCGTTCCGTTATGTGACAGCACCCTCACACCGCCACACGTGTCGCGACGGGTTTCCAGCTTCCTCGTGACTTCCAAACTGCTGCGTGCCTGCTGCCCCCAAGCCCAGGCCCCTTAAATGACCCCCTTAAATGGCCCCCTTCAATGGCCCCCTTAAATGGCCCCCTTAAATGACCCCTTAAATGACGCGTCTCCCGCCAACCCTTTCCACCTCGTTTCGGCCGTCCTCGCCAACCTCCGCACGGCGAAGGTGCTCTTGCTCGCCGCGCCGTGCATCCCCCCCCCAAGGCCATCCACCAGAATCGGCCCCAGCAAACCCAGCACCCCGCTTCCGCTTTTACCAACGCCCGGAAGCCAACCGCTGGGGCCTTTTGCTCCCTTTTGCCGCCGCCGGCCAAAGGGGCGGCCCAGCGCCGGGACTGTTTTTGGGTCGTGACCACGCGATTCGATTGCCCCGCCGACGCGGCAGCGCAGCGGGGCGATGAATCCCGAGAGCCACGCGATGCTGCTGCTGAAGAAGCAGCTCAAGGGTGCGTTGGGGTCCGTGTGGCTGTTTTGGTTGGTTGGGGGGAGGAGGGTGGCTTGGAATCAGCGGCGTTGCGAGGGGACATGCTTTTTGTTTTCTCGGCTTTGGCTGGGGCGCCGAAGAGCGATTGAGAGGGGGTGATCTCGATCGATGCCCCTGCTGAAGAAGCAGGTCAAGGGTGCTTTGGGCGGCAGGGCGGTTGTGAGCGTGCGCGGGCGGGAGTTGCGATGGCGTGGGGAGGAATCAGCGTAGCTGTGAGGGGATACTACAATTTCCTCGGCCTTGGTTGGAGTTCCGAGGCGTGGTTAAGGAGGGCGTTCTCGATCATGGCGGGCTTCGAGCGCCTGTGTGCCCCGTGATTGCCGCCGATGCGCCCGCTCCGGTGGTTGGAGTTGCGGCGCGGGGTTGGGCTGGCGCCCGTGGCGGCCGTGGGGGGAGCTGGCCTGATCGCTGCCGACCTGGCTGTGGCGCGCAGAGCTGACGAAGAACCCCGTGGACGGCTTCTCTGCGGGGCTGGTGGACGAGTGCAACATCTTCGAGTGGCGCGTCAGCGTCATGGGGCCGCCCGAGACGCTGTAGTAAGTGCTCTCGAACATTCTCGGGCGCGCCTTTTTGGCGGCGGGTTTGGCGGCCTCCGGGGGTGGCCTGGCGTTGCGCCCCTCCCAGCGCGTCTGCCATGCGGTTGTTGGGGTTCCCCGGGGCCTTGCATACTGCCGTGCCGCCCCTGCCCTCCCAGCGTGGTTTGAACGCGCCGGGGCTTTTGCCAACAGCACCCAGTGATCCTGCTCAGGCTGTTGGCGCCTGATGGGCTGTTGCTGGGCGTTGATTGGATTGTGGGCGGCGTTGGGAAGGTCTGGTCTCGCTGTGATGGCCGAAGCCGTGCAAGAGATGCCGACAAGTGGTGTTGGGCGCAGTCCGCGAGGCACTCTCTTGTGCCGAGTCCGGTGCTCTATCCTGGGGGCTGTGTGGTATCTGTCCAGTTGCGCCATGCTGCTGGGCCGTCCTTCTTGTGCCTGGGCACACACATGGACACTGGCGCTGGCTGTGGGAGCGCATGTCGATTGCATTCATCAAACATCAGAAAACGCTGCCTCCCACCTTTTGGGCGCTGTTCACGTGAGCACAGTGCTCCTTGACATTCAGTTGCCCCACGCTTGCTGCTGAGCTGCAGCTCTGCAGCTCAACCACATGCGTCACTCAAATGTGCCGGGTTGCTTGTGCGCAGTGAGGGTGGTTTCTTCAATTGCATCTTGAGCTTCCCCAAGGACTACCCAAACTCTCCACCTCAAGCTCGGTTCACATCAGATATGTGGCACCCAAACGGTATGTTGATCTTGCAAGTCTGACATTCCATGAATAGGTGTCAGTTCTCTGCAGTGACGGCAGACGTTGCTCGGTGGTGCTCATGCCAGTTTCTTGCATCAGTGCTGCTTGTGTGTGCTGGAGCCAGCAGGACCTCCTGAAACTTCACCACCCAGCACACCTTGCCATACTTCCATACTCCCATACTTCAAGCAGAGACTGCTGAGCTGTTGCATTGTCGCTGGATCGCAGCGTTTGCATGCGATGAGATACTGACTTGATACTGAAGCCCTTGCATCTGGCATTCCAGCTGCTCATGCCCCTCTGTGCCACATGCAATTCCTGTTGCACTCAGGCATATGTATCATCCTTGTCTGTGTGGAAGAGAGTGTTGCACAAATTCTTGCCCAGGGGCTGTCACTTGAGTGACATGTTCTGTTGCAAGACTGTCTTCATTGTTGCAGCCTCCACAGACATGGTCCAAGAGCATCTGAAGTCTCTACTTTTACTCCTTGTTGTTCGTTCCCTGATTCGTTCTGATGCGTTGGTTGTCTGTGCTGTCAGTGTACAAGGATGGGCGGGTGTGCATTTCGATACTGCACAACCCTGGGGAGGATCCAACTGGATACGAAGATGCCAGCGAGCGTTGGTCCCCAGTTCATACCGTGAGTGTGCAGCAGGAAATGCTCCTCATGTGCAGCAACAGATTTGGCACTTGAATGCTGAACGTATGGCAGAAACTGCACCCAGCTCCCCACTGTCGTTGCTGCAACGTTTTTGTACTGATGCATCACATTGTTTGCAGAAAACTGTATTTTTTGCCACGGAATATCAGCAAAAGAAACTTATAAAGAAAGGACTTGGGTGCCCTTCTATCCAAAGCGACAAAGAAACTGAAAACAAAACACAGCATTTTTTGTCACAAGGGTGTGCTGGCAGCAGGTGAACAGGATTGTGGTAGTGCAAGAGAACACAAGTCTGGCACTGAGTCAGGGGTGGCCAGCACCTGGGCTCTTGAATGTGTAGGATTTTGTAATAGAAACACTCACCTGAGAGCATTGTAGAATAGACAGCCTGACACCATTGATTTCTACATGCACCAAGAGAAACTTGCATGCACTGGCACAGCCACCTGGTGTCGATGGTCAGGATAGCAGTGCCCCATTTGACCACAGCCCTCACAGTGCCCTATCCAGTTTCTTATCAATGCTGCATACTTGTACAACGGAAAAACCAGGTGCAGAAGTATTGGCCAGTGCAGTATGATTTTGTTGCAACTGGCTCAGTGTAGTCATGATATGCCTGGAAATGCCTGATCCTTTGCTGTTATGCACATCCCAATTTGGTCATTGGCCACTTACGTTTGACCTTGGCAATGGGGAGAGGGTTGCACACCCATTCTGGGGTTGTGCAGTGAATGGTGTGTCTGTGAGTGTCACATCATGCCGAAAACAGCACTTGTCATTAGGCAGTTCTGGCGTACACACCAACACCAACGTTGGTGCACATCACTAATTTGCAGCAACCACTGGAGTCTGGGGTGCTGTGAGTCCTTTTAATCTCACCTTAGCTGTTTTTGTTGTGTGTATGGTATACATAACTGTGTAAGCAGAAGTCCCAAAGTGGGCATCCAGTACATGTATAGTCTCCCACACACAATCAGCTTGTTGCCGATAGTGGATCAAATGGTATTCGTTTTGGTCACATGGAGAATTCCAATGGAACATCATAACAGCACACATGCAGCCTCTGCTCACCTTGCCACTGAGGCTCTTCTGTGCAAGTTGGCAGCGGACCACATGGCCATGCCCAAGGGCTTTAATTCAGGAGGCACTTTAGTCCCAGCAATGGACCTGAGATGGCGTCGACCGATGTGCTGGCTGCGCTGCAGGTGGAGACGATCATGATCTCAATTATATCGATGCTGTCCTCGCCGAACGACGAGTCGGCTGCAAACATCGACGCCGCAAAGGACTGGCGTGACAATCGCGAGGAGTTCAAGCGCAAGGTTGCAAGGACTGTGAGAAAGTCGCAGGAGGAGCTGTGATGGCCATGTGCTGGGTGGGGATGGTTCCATGGTAGATGGCTGCCCTCTGGTTGTAGGGACACCCCCTGTTGCAAACCTGTCCACAGCAGACACATGTGTCGATGCAGGGGGCAAGAATGTATGCTGGGCAGCCTACACGGAAAATAGGAAGGGGGGTGGGGTGTGTGTGGAGGGGGAAGGGGGCAATTGGGCTGGGCACACAGGACATATTCTGATATGCTTTTGTAACTGTGCTTCTTTGGCTTGCCTCGTCTGTGGCCTTTTTTTAGGAGATGCCAAATTCATGACTATGAGGTTGGACCTGGTATTGGGCCTGGTGCTTAGCCCGATGGTGGACAGATAGGGGTCTGGCAGTGTGAGTTGGGTGTGGCTTGCTCTGTTAGGCTCTCTGTGCTGACATGTGTCAGTGGCGGGTGTCCAATGCAGTACCCCACTTTAGAGCCGGCCTGAGTGTGTCCCTTTTAGGGCTGTGTTATGGCTTGCGTGTAACATAGAAAGTGGCCCGTTTCTGTGCACAAGAGTGAGACTTGGGGTTCTTGAGTCTTGTTGCGCTGTACTTTAACCACCTCGCTTCGTTGCCTTCGTGCACACCGAACCACGGCCAGGATGTCGCAGCCCAACAAACGCGGCTGAATCACGGTTGCCTGCACGAGGCAGCACAGCGCTCTTTGCCTCTCGAAGGCCATGGCAGAACATGCTTGCACATGCGAGTCGTGCTAGTTTGTGTGGGTTTGAAACAGTCAGCTGTCCCTTGGCTGTCTGCGAAGTGCAGCCATCACTTGTTGGGCGCCGTGAAACACGCAGATGGAGGTTGTGGAGCACCAAACCATTCAGCCAACCGTTGCATTCTGGCTGAAGGGAGATGGGCTGCCCCAACTTCCAGTGCACCCTTGGGCAGGAGGATGCACAGGATGTCCTGAAGCAGTTGAAGATATTGGAGGACGATCAGTGACGATCAACAGAGTCCTCAAGGGTAGCGCCAAAGGGAAGCAATGGAAAGGCCGGGGTCCCAGGTGCCAGGGAATTGTCCATAAGAACTGCAACACGGCTACCAGCAGCATTGTCAATGATCTTGTTGCATGGTGTCCTTGTTGCCTTCTTCTATCATTGGATTCCTTAGGTCGTTCACGTGGTCTGCCAGGAGCGTCGTCCTGGAGACAGATGGTTGGAAGCGCCAGCAACATCCACCATCCAGATTTCAGTCGTTCGATCAGCCGAAATCGAGCTCTGTGTACTCAGCAATTTGGACCCACAAGAAACAGTGCACATCAAGGCAAGGAAGCGATCCTCAGTTCCCTGTTTTGCTGTAGAAAAGAAGAATCCGCCATTTGCAACGTATTGCAGCAACGAAATCCACGATCTGCCAATTCCCAAGGAGGCAAGGGACTCACATTTCCAGGCGAGAAAGTCTATCTGGCGACTTCTCATGTCGGCAAAGAATGAAATATCGCACCAATTGCGCAATGACGACTGGGTACCTCGATCAAGCCCGTCCACCCCGCCGACACAAGCTACCTTTCCCGGGCGGATGACCCCTGCAAGTTTATTGACCGCGGCAGACAGCAGTGCCACGCAGCAATACTCCAAAACAGCTATCAGCCTCGACCCCGCCGCTGCTGCGAGATCACCCACCACTGACTGCCGCAGACCCGCGGCGACTTGGCACCAAGCGGCGCGGACCATAAGGTCACAGGGCACCCTTTGAGCGCTTCGAAACCAGGAGCAGCGTGAGGGCTGCGGTGTTGAGTCGCGGCCGCGCTCCCGGGCGGCACCACGCACGGGAGGGAAGGGAAGTTTGGGCCCGGTCAGAGAATTGGCTGCCTCTGACAGTCAAAGCCCTACCCATCAATTGTTGACGTCCCAGCTTGGCCCAGCACCAAACTGCAGAGGCCACCGCTTCGGCTTCCCAATCTGAGAGGCGGCGGACATCTTGATGCAAGGATTTGGTGGTTGTTCTATCAGCACAGGCGAGGCCAGGGCTTGGCGTGGCGGCCGAAACACCGTCGGGGATGGGGCTGTCACAGATTGTGACGATTCTGCTGGCAGGGCTGGTGGTCATGGGGGAGGGGTACAGGCTGGATTGTGGCGCGCCGCCAGTGGCCGCGGGGGGCGGCGGGGCGTGCGCCCATCTGAGGGGCTACGAGTTCAAGAATTACGACTCCGACGTCGGCGGGAGCGGCGTCTCCAGGTCGCAGGCGAGCCCTGGGGCCCACCTGGCCGACAGCTCCAAGGTGTCCTTCAGCTTCAGGTGAGACAGCTCATCATTGTAAGGAAATCCTGCATGTCAATGGGGCAATTCATCCGGCTTTCGCATGGGTTCGAAATTCGGAATTTCGAATTGTCGAGAGCGGCCGCAGTTTTCAGAATTTGATTCTGTAGGGAACGCCGCAGCTGGCGGCAGCGGCAAGGCCACGACGGGCGTGATTGCATGGGCAGCTTCGCTTCAACACTCCGTTTTGAGGCGTATTGGCGTGATGAAGTTTATGGAAACATGGCCATTTACAAAAGCCGAGAAGTGCTGGTGACGGTTTGTTGACACGGATTGCGAAGCCCCAATGGAAAGTTACGTGATTCTCGTACAAAGTCCCTGCAATCCTCTCCGCAAGTTTGAACACGGCGCACACTCCCAGTCGCACATGGTGTTGAGTACATTTTCTATAAGGTTATTGCTTCTCCTCGTAATCGGTCTTTGTATTAATTGGCGAAGTCTGCTGGCAGGCTATTCGGCTGCATCGAGGGCAACCCTTCGCAGCCGAACATGAGCGACGCTTTGAGGAATTACGACGAGGAATTTTTTGAGGTGTACGAGGACCGGAAGCTTCAAAGGAAGACCACCATCGCGGAATTGGCATATTCCGTGAGACAGCAGCAGGACTATCTCTACAACTTTCTTACTCTGCTTCTGGACATGTAGGGCAGCTGTACTGGCAATAAAGCACCCTGAAACGCCCTATAACTTTTAGGCTGTGTTTAAAGAACACTGCGGTCAGGGTCCAGTTTCCAGTTCACTGTGATCTTATCTTTGGAATTCACCTTGACGAAAATTCGGTGCATTCTGGGTAGGCATTTTGTCTGGTGCAAAAACTACATTAACGAGAACTTCAGCATTCAAATTGGGAAATGATGCTTCTTCCCCTTCAAGGCCATGAGATCCCTGAATTCGAAGGGGGACGATGAGGGATTTTGACGACAGATATATGAAAGTGAAGAATCAATGTTGCCGCACCACTGAGGGATATTAGTCGCAAATCTGCACAGTTTTCCCTCAATCTTCACAAACGTCAGATTCAACCAGAACTTGGGTTTTAGCCTCGGGAGAATATGGTTTGCCGATGCCTCCATCAACAGTAGTTTTGGGGCACCCCGGCCGCCATTCCGGAATGCATGTTTGTGCTTTTATTGAAATCGATTGGAAGTCCAGTTGCTGATGAGGCGGTGAATGCGCGACAGGTCCAAATCCGTCGCTTCCAAGCAGGAGTACTTTGAGGATCTGAAGAGAGCGATCAAAGAGCTAGTACCCATGCTCGTGCCACCGAACAACCAGCAAGCCCTCCACAAATTGAAGCTTCGAATTTTGGCCTTTGCCGGTGCGAACGCACACCATCGGTATTTGAAAATTGGTCGCCTGAGAAAGAGCCTCTGAAACGCCCCCGCCTTAGGTGGCTGCCTGAAACATGCAAATTTTGGATCTATCGCAAGCGCTCGAACACGTGAACTTCACATTGCAGGGTCGTCTAATGTTCGAAAACGGTTCAGTGACAGTGGTTTGCTTGGTGGCTGGAGCGCCCACAAGCGCCAATTTAGGGTCGCATGCCTCATGGCCCAGTGGGATTGCCATGCGATGTAGATGGCAGGAGTCTCTGGCCATTCTGATCACTCGGTGGCGCGACCACGGCGAATAGACCGGTGTTCATTATATGGATGATGAACTGCAACGAGAGCCATGAATCGTGCACGGAAATCTGGCTTAAATTCATTCGCAACGTGCTGCATCACTAATAGGAACACATCCCAGTGTGCTAGCTTTCTTCCCCCTTGGAAATGAACCGAAGTTGTGTATCAGTGATCATCACAACTGATGGAAAATCGATCTTGCAGCCGCACCGCACCCACCCCTTCGAATTTCAAACGCAAACCTGCACTAGCACTTGACAAGCACATACTATGGCCAAAAATTTTGACAGGGGCGATTTGACTACCGTATTCTATTTAACTTCTGCATCAAAAATTCCCCCGTTACGCATTTTGCCCCGCATTTTTTCAAAGCTTTATTTGTTCTTTTTATTTTTGCTCTCCAAAACTTCTGCATAATGTTGCTCCGCAAAAAATGACGATGAAAATTTTTACCTTTACGCACTTTGCTCCGCACTTTTTTAGAGGGTTATTTGTTCTTTTTAATTTGCTCCTCAAAATTCTATGTAACGCTGCTCCGCAAAAGGTGGCCAGGCACTACTTTGCAATGAGAAAGCGTTTAACTAAATGTGGCACAGGGAGCATCAGTAAAAACAATCATAAGCGCACTCCAAAACTGTCAAATTTGCGGCTTTTGATGCCAGTTTTACCCGGCGTTGTGTATTCGCAGGGGGCTCCGATCGATCCACCGTGAACCACGTGCTTCTGGACTACCAGTGCTCCTCGGACGTCGTCAGCAAGGTGACCGACCTGGTGGACGGCCTGTCCCACCCGGAGGAGCTGTTCGCGGACTACCGATCGACGGCTCTCAACCTCGCCGTGTCGGTTGCGCTCAGCGACCTCATCGCGACCGTCGACGACTTCGACGCGGATTTCGTGTCCGGGACGCTCGTCGCTTTCACGTGAGGGGCCTCCTGTCATTTAAAGCACAAGTTGTCGCAACGAAGTAATGTATCCATTGTGCGCCCATTGATGCGACACCCTCCCAACACATTGAACACCAACTCAACGCAGCTCCCAATTATCCTGCTTCTCGAATCGTACACACAATATTTGTTCTATTGCGCAAACTTCCCTGTATCGCTCTACTGTCCTATTTGCTCTACTGTTAAATTATATCTTGTGAATTGAGGCTTTATTTCCGCTCAACCACCTCGTCTCATGATTCATCTTGCACGTGTATGGCAAAAGATGATTTTCGTGAATGCATTTTCGCCAATTTTAATATAATTTCCCCTTTTTTCGACGGCAGGGACGGCGACGACACCGCGGGCACGTATCCCACCTCTTCGCTGTACGAGGAGCTAGATTCCGTGCCCCCGCAGGTGAACATGTTCTCCATAGGCGTCGGCAACGTGAGCGAAGCGAAGCTTAAAAGAATCGGGGTGGACGGCTACGTCAAGGTGTCCAGCTCCGATTCGCTGCAGGAGGGATTCTCTCAAGTGACGAGGAAGCTGATGCTCGCGAGCCAGAACAGGCAGGCAGCGCTGGCGGCAGAATTGCAGTTCCACGAATTTGTGAATCAAGTCAAGTTAGAGTTAGCTGATAACTGGTCGATTCGAATCACGCGGGGAGATCACATGGGCATGGGCCCAATACTGTGGGGCTATCAGGCTGAGGTACCAGTCTGCTTGCATCTTGCCTGGCTGAGTGATATGTTTTAATTTGTTTATTGATCTGTGATTGCCAAAGGTCGTCAAGTATTGAGTATTTAAGACCATTTCACGTCGCCGCCAGCACTGCTACTCGCTGTTGCTTGGCGGCAGAGCCATGGAGATTCATCCGATGCCAACATTCGGCCGAGTACCGGCACCGTGGGCTCGCGCATGTGTGAATCTTTTGATTGCATTTTTCCACAGGGCATTTGTCTCACAGGCACATCTTCCTAATCAGATAACTCGACCACGAGAGCCTCCAGGGCGATGTGGACTAATGAGCAACACCACGATTTTAGGACGAAAACTACCGAGCAGGAAACGCAAAATACCAAGACTTGTTTCCAGAGCTGCACCAAACCAACAAACATTTGTGGGGCCCAGGTATCTCCTGGAGTACTGCTCGCCCAAGCGAGGCGGGGAGCACGACATCCAGGTGCAGGTGCGCAGCCAATCCGCCGGATCGGCCTGCAGGTTCTACTTCGACGCCAGCGACTTCGACGACTCCTGCAGGCTGGGGTTCACGCTGCCGTCCCTGGACTCCTTCGGCTGCAAAGATGGCGGCAAGGGATTACGTCAGCCCGATGAGAATTCTGGTGGGGTGATGACATCACGGGCGCAGGCTATGGGAATGCTGACGGCCTTTTGTTGGACCTGGGCATGGATTGCAGCGTGAAGACGCCGGCTGCCGGGAGGCACGTGAATTGGAAATTGTTTCCAAGTCACTTCCCATAATTCTCTTCATTTATTTCCAGGGCTTGGTGAGCACTGCAGCACTTAGTAAGCGCACACAGCACGATTATTTAATGTGTTCGCGGGGGAGGCTTTCTGTAAAATGCGGCATAAGGGTGTGGACTTGCGGGCTGGTGTAGATTTCTGGGTGCTTGTGGATGGATGATCCACTAGATGTTTGGAGCTGGGGACTTGCTGGGGGAAAGCATGATCTTGGTGAGATCATTTGGGTCCAGTGCGCCAACGACGGCACGGAGCAGAGGCGGTCATTGGCCACAGAAAGGGAGCCAATGCAAGGAATTTGGGATCCATTCCGGAGGTGAAGACACGTTGGAAGGGTGGGCAGGAAATCGCGCTGTTCGAATTGCTTGCTTCACCGGGGCAGAGGGCGCTTGTGTAAATCTTTGATTGAATTTGTTGAGAGGCTACAAACCACAGGCGTTGCACCTGCAATGTGATTTCGGGCATTACTCTGCACACTGAGCGTCCAGCATGCATTCCCTGTTAACGCCAAAGCCCAAAATTAACTGTAGTTCCTTGATTAAATCCAGGAAATTCTGCTGAAGGGGCGAAGTAAGACGCTGGCTTTCAGGTGTGGATTGCTCCTAACAAGCTCAATATTGTGCATACGGACGAACATGCGAGCTTTGAAGTGGCGCTGCATTGCGCAAATCACGCCAAACATCATCCGTTAGAACATCAAAATTTTCAAGCGAATCGGCCGTTTTCTCGCAGGTAACTGATGGCCCAAAACATACAACACACATTCCCCGGTTCGGCTCCATTTCCTACCCGCTCATCATGAACGGGCCGGGTACGTAAGGGACAGAATTCCAATTGTCCCTACGCTCCGCTGTGAACACTTGCCTTGTACTCGAGCCCACGGTCCCCTGTCAGGGGCCGCCGCCCCTGGACCCTGCCTGCCGCCGTCAACACAACAAGGCAACGAGGTGGCCGCGGGCTTTTTCCCATTCTGCCCGAGCAAAGCAGCGTCCACGGTCGCCGCACCCCAATAATTGGCCGCCATTAGCGGCCGAAAACGGTCCCCATTTGCCCTGCTGGCACCGCATCACTGGCGCCCGTGGCTTCTGGGCCGCAGGCGCCTCCGCCCCTCCCCTGCGCCGCCCGGCGCCGCTCACCACAAAGATCCACGCCGCCGTTAACGCGCACCCCACCAGATCCGCGAGCAGCGAGCGCCCACACCCCCGCCTCCCCCTCACCTCCTCGCCCCCCGCTCGCAGCCATGCAGCCCACCGTTGTTGCCCGCGCTCAGGGGATGGCGCTCAAGCCCGCGCCGCTTTCCAAGGCCATGATCAAGGTGGCCAGGCCGGTCAGGTCCGCCAAGGCGATGCGGGTGTGCGCTTACAAGGTGACGCTGAAGACGCCCAGCGGCACGGAGACGATCGAGTGCCCGGAGGACACCTACATCCTGGACGCGGCGGAGGTGGGCCGGCCGTCCGGCGATGCGCTGAATGATTCGCAGGGTGACGGCCCCGGCGGCGAAGATTTGGATCGCACCCGATGTGGGCTCTCGCATCAGAATATGCGCCGCCGAGACTGTTTGGGCGGGGCGCACAATTCGGAGGCTGCGGGTGTTCCCAGCGCGATCTCCTGTAACGTGAACTGATTGTTGCTGGTGGTGATTGTGATCGTGTGAGCAGGAGGCCGGAGTCGACCTGCCCTACTCCTGCCGCGCGGGGTCGTGCTCTTCGTGCGCCGGCAAGCTCGAGGTGCGCTCTCCATCCCCCTGCCTTGTGTTCAGCTGTCCGCTTTGCGCCGTGGTAGTCCTTGATGGCGTTCCCACGGGTCGGCCGGCCCGCGCCAGTGGCGACGATGTTGACGAATGGCTGATCGCTGGGGGTGATGATCGTTGATGTGCGCTGTCGTGTAATCATTGCGCACCTTGTTGCGTGCGTTTCGCACGGCGCTCGAATGGCCCCGCGTCATGTTGGCCGTGAGGAAAGCAGGCCCCAGGCGTCTTGCACACTCGAGCCTGCTGCCCATGTTCAACTCTCAGGCCTGTTCTCAGGCCTGCTGTCCATGCTCAATTCTATGCACCCTGGACTTGACGAAGCCATACGGCGAGAATGGCGACCTCCTTCCTCCCGGCAATGTGACAAGCGTAGTTGCAGGAGACACAATGTCTTGGTTGATCTTTAACTTGTTTGATAGCCGTTCGTGACTTTTTGCAGGGTGGTGCCGAGCCGGATCAGAGTGACCAGTCCTTCCTGGATGACGACCAGATGGCCAATGGATACATCCTGACCTGTGTGGCTTACCCCACTGGGGACTGCACCATCAAGACACACCAGGAGGAGGAGATGTACTGAGGCCTTGCGCCCATGCAAGTTTTGGAATTCTTTGGAAGGGATTGTGAAGCCATTCTTTCAAAGGGCATACCACTCTAAATGTGCGGAAAGTGGGTCAGTGCGGCCCCGGAGCGGCTGGCCTGTGTCGTTGCCAAGGCGCGCAGGCACTGTTTTTGGCTGCTGCACCTCAGGAGCGGTAGCAATGCCAAGGTCAGCATCCTGGCATGGCGGAAGGCTGGCTGCAAGCACACCGGAGCGAGTGGTGGCCAGTTCCCTTGCTTTTGAACCTTGTGGGGAGGGTGCGTCGACGAACAAGACAAATTTGGTACCGCGGAGATTTTAGCAAGTAAACAGATGGGGCGCTCTTCCAGGCCCTGGTATGCTTCTGTTCTCTGCATCTATGCCAATAGCACTCGCCCCCTGTTCGACGCAATTCCATCACCGTTGCCGTCCAGCACTGCGTCGTCCAATGGCCAGGTTCACGTGTGAAAGCAACCAGGGCTGCAGGCAGCCCCAGTCCCCACAAGCAACCCATCTTGCACGTCAATGTTTCGATCTTCAATTGTTGAGAGCAGTCGTGGGCGAGTTTCGCCAAGGCCTGTTGGGGAACGAGGTTTATTCGGTGAGCGTGGCCGGCTCCAATAGAACCCAAGTCACGCCCGTGCCACTCGCGCCTGGTTTAAGCCCTTGGCCACGTGTAGGCTGGACTAATTGCCGCGCTGCCTGGCACCCCTGCCTTGCGAACATCGCCCTGACGCATCGTCCTCGGGTCTGCGCTGGTGTGCTGGGCAGTAGGACTGCCCCTCTTTCCATCGGCATCACACTTCGCGCGGGTTCCAACGGATTGACCAGGCCACGTCCGTCGGCTACACACCGTCCATCATGAATGCAACGGCACACATTGTGTTGTGCACTCGCACTGAAACGGACGGTGCTGTTTTTTTCAGCGATTTCCAGTCTTTCAGCCTTTTCCAGGCTTTTTTTAACAGCTGTCTTTTTTCTCTTGCTGACAAGGGGCTCAAGCTTACAGTCAGTAACCCCTCGCTGTGGGCACCGTCTGAAGTATCCATGGAAGTCGGCACATCCACGTCGCTACAATGCGCCTGCCATAATGATAAAGATTCTTGGTGATTGTCAGATGGAGCATCCGGAACTGGCCAACATGGGGGACTGTGCCTCCGGTCTGCCATGTACAGCGCACTCCACACCCTTGCCTAGATGTTGGCTTGAGAGCAGAGCGGGAGTGACGATGATGCTCGATGCAGTTCACAGGACACGAACAGGCACTCTCCAGCTGCCCAAAGATTGGCAGCCGTCACAAATGCTGCCCCCGTGGGGTTAGTCTGATGAAGTGGGCGCAACCGGAAGCGCGAGTCAAACCCTACAGCCATGTCCACGACGACAAATGTCATGGCCAGGCGGCGGCCACCGCTCCGCCTGATCCCCAGTTACGCTTCTGCATGCGTTCAACCAATGATACACATTGCAATACCGTCCAATTACATCGTACCATGATGCATCACATGGGCGCTTCCAACTGCAAAAAATCAATCATGACAACTGAACTGGCCTGCGAGCTCCCTGTGGTATAGGCATACATGGAGTTTGCTCAGCGCTTGAGAATGGTTGTGTCTTCATAGGCTCATTCCAGCATGAGCTGCGCCCCGCTAGTCGACATGCAACCGTGCACAGAGGAGTCTGCTGTGTCTGGTAGCCAGCCTTTTGTAGCCTTGCTGTACGCTAGAGGCACAAACGGTCGGACAATATGTTGATGAAGTCACTGCCATCGAATGTGATTTCCCAAAACCCGCCAAGTCCAGCCACTGTTGTGGAAACACATGGGGGTCGAGAGGATTATGGCCATTAGTCTTGGTTGGTTAGTCATATGTGGGATTCGACCCATTATTTGGATTTCTTATGATCTTTAGATACTCGTAGGTTCTTTACTTGTCTGAATCCCCCAAGTATGGAGTAGTGTATGGCCTCGGGAAGTCCCTGTACTTAAGGGACAGGCTGTGGGGGCAGACTGGGCTGCAGTGTATCGATAGTGGGTCCGATACGGGGGTATGCCGGGCGATACAGTCGTGACACACTGATGTACATTGTAGTGTCTGTGTGACGGGTGGTCAGGCCGGAATGTGGCTGACCACCAGTACGTACGCGGGGGTGCGTTGCTCCCCGCTCTGTTACCCGTTTTGGCTCACTGCCGCGCTCCGCGCGGGCCTCGCGGTGCGGGGAGCAAGCTGCCTCACTACCCGCCGTCTTCGAACGGCAGAGCCGCCCGATCCCAGAGTGCAAGAGGGCCCACCGC